TAATGTTCACGTCCACGCCCTCGCTCAGAAGAAGCAGCGCAGCCAGCGTGTAGCTGGCCTGCTCTTTCGTGCACTGATTCTGCAGGAAGTTCGTGAACTGGTCGTTTCGGTTTGCTGTGATCGTGAGATTCGCGCCGTCCAGGGAAGGAAACATTTTGATAATGACAGACGCATACTCCTTGATGTACTTTGTGTACTGGTCTTTGTTGCTTTGGGGGCCCTTCAGGTATATGCCATCCGTGCAGGGCTTGTCGTGCTTCGCGTCTCTGGCATACATGTAACTGTCACACTGATCGGCATTGTCCCAAGACCAGTCCATTTTGTAGCTTGGAATCACCCCGGGGAACACAAATCGCATATTGAGCGGATATTCTTCGTTTAAAAACACCTTTCCTCTGACAGGGCTGAGCGGCCCCTTCTCGTTGATACACACCTGGCCTGTCTCGGAGTTGCCTATGCGGTCCGTGTGTATTTCCAGCATGTCTTTGTGCGGCATGCTTGCGTGCATGGGAGTGGCTGCGTGCAGAGCCAGCAGCAGCCGCAGGCACCCAGCCAGCGGAGAGCATCCTCTTTTCGCAGCTTTTATTACAAGTGCATATTTCATGCACAGGTACAACGCACAGCTATTTATACCTTCTTATTCAGTGATGTCTATTTCGTATTTGTTTTCTCCAAACAAAAGCGATTGTTTAAAGTATTATAGGCATTGGTCAGTTTTACTATCAGAAATTGCCAATTTCTAATTGTTTTCTGCCTGATGGGGCGGCGTATTGTTTTTTTTTCAAACAAAAATAATAAACTCGTGCACGAGCAAAATAAAATTGCATCCTGCCGAATTTGAATTTGCATGGAAAAAGCAGGGCCTGCGCGTGCTTTTTTGCTTGCACCCCCTTGAGCTGACTAGATGCACAAAAATACATGTTTATTAATTAGCAGGCTATACAGTGCTTGTGTTAGGCTATTCAAGGGCTCCGCACCCAACTTACTTGCAATGCTGTTGCACGTGGCGGTCGGGTTCTTTTGCACAGACTCTTCCACCTGCTCTATTTTTGTCCTTGCAGCGCGCACTGAGCGTTTCTGGCTCTGCAGGGGAACACATTCCTCCTTCATCACCAATTCGGCACTAGCTAGTACTGCTCAGTTCTGTGAATCCGTGCATTGTTTTTGTAGCTGCGCTTCGCTTCTCCATTCATCTTAATGGCTGTCTTACATTCTTGCTGCTGATCTACTGCCTGTGCTTTTTGTTGCCAAACTCTTTCTCCATTACTGTAAATTTCTTTAAATTTGGGTTTGTCGGGCTCTCTGCAGGAAATTCTGAATTTTTCTGCTTCTCTTGTTTTTACGGGCTTGAAGAGTGATTTTTGTGTAAAATAGCCAATCGGCGCTACAAAACACCTGCTTGCGCATTCAATAGACCGATTCCCAGGGGTTTCCTGGTTTGCTTCAATCCGTTTCCCGGGGCACACCCGCCTTGCCTCTTTGTAGGCACACCCTGCATTTGGACAAAATGCCCTCGGCTCCTGCTGTGGCTCTAGCTCGCAGTGCAGACTTTAAACTTGTCTTTCTGTCGCCTGCATAAAAAACATTCTGTAAACTTTCTTTTTTCTAATAGTTGTAATGCGGGGAGCAGTCGTGCGAAAAACTCACCTTTATTCATCCATGAGCGGCCTAAATATTTATATGTTTAAGTACGCCATTTTTTCGGTTGCTTCCTGCGTACTTCTTCGTATATTCTTAGCAAAAGCCCAAGCCCCGTGTAAATATGCTTTCAGCATAGAATGTGAAGTAAACTAGCGAATGCCAACATAGTATAAAGGAATACATGTTTGTTTCCTCCTCTCTCAGATAAATTCGATGAGTCCAAGGATCTATTTTTCATGGGATCAGCACATGCCTTTTTGCTGTGTGCGTAGGAAATTATTCAATAAATCGAACTAGTTCTAACACATGTCTTTTGAGAAGGCTCTATTTTTCATATTGTACTGCTTCTTGCATGCCGTTTTCAAGCAAAGGCATGCCTTCTGTTTTTGAATTTGCAAGTGCTTGCGCATGCGCTCCTCCATCCAGTAGAGAAAGCCTTCCATGGTATACATATCGCACATGTCTGGCCTCTCCTGGCTCAGCTTTATCCTCAGGTCCATATATGCATCATAGTATTTTATGCACTCATAGCTATATCCCTGCAAAAGTGCCTTTGCACTCTCTAAAAACTCCAGAATTGGGCGCATGTTTACAAAATTTTGTTTGATGTCGGTTAACACCAGCTGCACGGGCTTTTTATTTAGCACTGCTATCAGCCTTTTCCTTATCTGTTTCATTATATCAATGCTGTAAGACAGGACTGCAAGCGGGTGGTATAGAACCTCTTCCATTTCACGCTGTTTATAGCCCTCTAAGCTTGGGTGGGCCACAGAATCGGGAAAAAAGAACATCTTGTTAGCCGCGCGGTCTGATGCGCACCGGCCTGGGGCTGTGCAATTGTGGAAGGTTTCGGAGATTTTAAGAATATCTTCTTTGGCTATGTTTTTCATAACAATGCGCTTTTTTCCTTCCGAACTTGCGCTGTTCATGGCTTTGGGAACGTTTATAAAGAGGTTGTGCAACCGGTCAAAAAACCGGAACGAATTTTGTATTGAGTGTGCCTCGGCCCTAGCGTGAACTGATATCATTTGCTCGTCAATGAGGGCGTTTTTCTGTTTTTTCAGTATCTTCAGGAGCCTCGTGTGCCTTGAAACCGAAAGTTCGATTCTGTTGATTAAGTCAAGCCTAACTGCGTCGTACACCATCGCGCCCACAGCGAAGCATTTAATCATTTCATAGCCTGGGAACTTTTTGTTGTTTTTCTTCAGCACGCAGAGCCTGTCTATCGCTGCTGCCATGGTTGCGTACATATTGCTAATGTCCTTCCACGCGTCAGAAGACCGGATTGCTGACGAATAAAGGTACTCTTTTGGCGTGTAAAGCAGCCTGATGCCCTCCGAAGACGAGTACGGCTCAGGGAGAATTGGCCTTGTAAGAGTTGAATATGCCTTTTCGGGTATGCTGCACCCAAACTTAGACCGCTCCTTGCTTAGTATGTTGGGTGGGAGGTGGCTGTCAAAAAAACAGTTAAAGTCGCTTTCTTCCGGAGACAACATGTTTCGCATGCCCTTTCCGTCCTTTATCGAATATTTAATTGCTATGCTTCTCTTTTTCTGGACTTTTTCCATCTTGTCTTTTTTGTTTATTAGCGCAAGCACCTTTGGATGCGGAGCATTAATGTTTTTGGCTATGCACAGACTCCCATTTGGTGGCGCCTTTGGGTTTATGCGCGTCTCGGGCCCGTTTGTGTACACACTGCACATCTGTTTATTGTTCCGCATATGAGCCACGCCAAAAACCGAAATGAATAAAGCCGAAAGCATCAGCGAAATTATCGCAATTATGTTCATGCAGAAATACTTTGAGCTATTTTTATATATTTTGCACTGCTCATATTGATATTTGTGATGATTTTTTGCAATTCACACGCGATTGGAGATCACCATGATCACGATATGCTTTTAAGGATATCGATGCGAATAAATTGAGATCAACAGTGATCGCAAAAAGTATAAATACGCGAGAAAGTCCAAGAAAAGATGCACAAATATAGGAAGAACATACCGTTAAGTCAATCCATCCTAATTGAAAGCCGGGGTTCACCAAAGGCCAATAAATCGTTACTGGAACCAGCTTTAGCCTTAGAAGCAAATCTGCCCGGATTTATGACAATATTCTTCATCATTCGGGTTATTATGGGATCTTACTGATTCTAAATTAGTTTTAAGAATTTTTTTACTAGTTCGATTTATTGAATAATTTCCTACGCACACAGCTGTTTCCAGCAGTTTTAAGAATTTCGCTGAATTATACGAAAGTTGTGACAAAAATCTTGAGGGTTTCAGGCAAAGACACGCAAAAAGCTTCAACACGGGGAGTGTATGTGTGGCACTGCTTTTTATTCATGCGTCTGTTCAATAGGCTTGTTTAGCTTGCCATTATTTATGGCTTCCATCAATGCTGCCTCATTCAGTGTCTAAGCAATAGTATGAGTTGTATTACTGGAATGAGTCATCTGAAACATTGCCCTTTATTCATTTTCGACCTGCTTAAATATTTATGTATTTAATTTATCATTGTTTATGATGTTGTCAAACAAGCATTCATTTGTGTCCAAAACAATAACCAATCACGAGCAACTATGCCTTTAGCATACAAAGCCTTCTTATTCAGTGATGTTCTGATTGTTTTCTGCGTGGTGGGGCGGCGCGTTGTTTTTTTCCAAACAAAAATAATAAACTTGTGCACGAGCAAAATAAAATTGCATCCTGCCGAATTTGAATTTGCATGAAAAAAGCAGGGCCTGCGCATGCTTTTTTGCTTGCACCCCCTTTGGGCTGACTAGATGCACAAAAACGCATGTTTATAATGCCCTGCCGAAATGCAGGCGCATGTTTATTAATTAGCGGATTCTACTGGGCGTGCTGAGTGTCCGGGGACTCCACGTGCCACTTGCTTCTCATTTTTTTGTGGCCAAGCTTCCTCAGCTGTTTCTGCACAGTCGATCTGCTTGCACCCAGATTGCTTGCAATGCTGTTGCACGTGGCGGTCGGGTTCTTTCGCACAAACTCTTCCACCTGCTCTATTTTTATCTTTACAGGGCGCCCAGAGCGTTTCTGATCCTGCAGGGAAAGATCCCCCGACAGGAACTTTAAAAACCACCGGCTTGCCATCGAATGCGACACAGTTTGAGACTGCACCACGTTTATGTTTTTTGCTGCTTCCTTGAAGCTCCTTCCGCATTTGAACTCGTACAGAAGAAGAGAGCGCACATTGGCCTTTTCCATGCGGAAAAAAATACAGGGGTATTTCTACATATTTTGCTAGCTTTGTTAAATAAGACACAGCCATAAAACAGCGCAGAAAGAAGAGGATGCGCCCCTGGGCTTGCAAGTGAAAGTTGCAACCGGGACAGAAACCGGCCAAAATGTGTTCTGAAATTTAAAAATGCGGAACAAGTTTTTATTCTCGGGCGCTGCCTGCTGAAGCAGTTTCAAGGCAGCAAAAGTATTTTCCTGCATGCAAAATAAATTGGCGTTGTTTGGCCTAGATTCGGAAAATGTATTAAGGCCGGGTGTGTACAAAGAAAGAGCTCTCTGCTGTACTTTAAGCTGAGGGGGTCATTCTTGCGTGGACATGAGGAGTGTCTTTATCTTCCTGCGGGGGCGCAGAGGGCTCAACTTCCTGCCTTTCTGGCTGTGCAGAAGCAGCACTGGGCGACGTGTCTACAGAAGATTCCTTAGGCTGTTCCAGTGGGTGGGAGGAGGTTGAGGAATTTCGAATTACTGTCTTTTGGTAGGTTACCTTGGGAGTTGGCTGCGATTGACTAGGCTGCGATTGGCTAGGCTGTGGTTGACTAGGCTGTGGTTGACTAGGCTGCGGTTGGCTAGGCTGCGATTGGCTAGGCTGTGGTTGACTAGGCTGCGATTGGCTAGGCTGTGATTGGCTAGGCTGCGGTTGACTAGGCTGTGATTGGCTAGGCTGTTGCTGGTTGGGTGAAGACGTGGGTGAGAACTCGCCGGGCTTGTCACTATTTGGGGAGAGTGCGTTCTTCGGGTTTTTTGGGTCATTCGGGTTTGGATTTTTCTTTTTTATGTCGTTGCTCTTTTCCTCCGGGTCTAGTTCTTCCCTGTTCATACAGTTTCTTTCGCAGGACTTGCTGTGCACCAGAATATACTTCCCATTTGAAGGATCTGGAATGTATCGTGTGCATGGCGCACACCCACGGAAATAGTATGGTGATATCCCCTTGGGAACTTCGATCTTCTTGGGCGATCCGCCGTTCTCGTCTATATCCACCTTGTAGAACTTGAACATTTGCTTAATGACCGTCCGGCTGCTTTCTTTCCAGCAAATAGAAAGAGTGAGAAGCTGTTTTCTGTTTGGCGTTAGACAAAGGCCATTGAAGCCTATTCGGAAGTACCCAGGAAAGTTTTTGGACATTTTCACTTCAAAGTACTGCCCCGGGTTTTTCTCGTCATATGGCATCTTCATTACTATTCCTGCTATTGGAGAGACGGCAAGAACCTCTTCCGAGGTGTTTCCCACGTTTTTCTTGTCTGCCTCCTTAAACGGAACCACCTTCAGATTGTACACGTCCACGCCAGCCTCTAGCTGAACCAGGGCTATGCCCAGCTTGATGTCCTGGTCGCGCCCAATCGCCACTAGATTTCCCATGGGAATTCCGTTGAACGCCTTTGGAGTTGACACAAACCCGTACGAGCCGTAGTTATACAGAAGGCCCTGTTTTGGAAGAGAGTTATCATACCCTCCTAACAGACCGCTGCGAGCGCGGCCAAGTGCTAGCAAAAATATGAGTGCTGTGATGCTGTACATGCGCACCAGGCGTTTGCCTGTGATATAAAAATCAGAAAAACATAAAACATCGTTCTATTAGAAAATTTCAACGCATTGTAAGAACGCGAGAAGACGGGCAGTTCGAAGGAAAAGGTACAGACGTTAGTATTTATTTGGGCTGGCGCTGCTTGGGCATACGCCCCTTTGCGCGCTCTTGCATGCAAAAATTTCTAGAAAAAAGACAGCAGTCTTTGAAGGAAAGACTTGCTCATTTCCTTGTATGGAATCCAAATAAACGAGCACTGGGTTGCGTCTAGGTCACAATCTTTTTCCGACCTAAACGTGGCCGACCTGTTGTATCCTGCAGTTGAAATAAACTTGTTATTTACCAGCGACCGAATGGCGAACTCCTGGTACTTTTTCTCATAATTGGAAAGCTTGTATGGCTTTTGGTCATACTTGAAGTTTTTGAAGTGGGCGCTCACCCCTATAAGCTTGAACGATCGGCTGCTGATTGGGCCCACGTTAATTTGCACTTTGTTATTGTTGTTCATCAGACCGGGGATCCTTTCTATGGTTGGCCTCTTTGCATTGTACTCCGGGGACGCAAAATAGTTGGCAACTTCTTTGCTGTTTGTCACAAACACCACCGGACTGCCTTTTTTGTTCTCCAAGTGGTAGATGCTCATGGGCGTCATTTTGTACTTACTCCCAAACCCCAGCTCGGGCTCATATCCTATCGCCTTATTTTTGATGCCGAGCACAGCCTTCATATGCAGGCTGTACAAATACCCAATGCTTTGGTCCTCCGAGTAGCTCATCGGCTCCTTTATAGGCTTCCAGCTATGTTTTTTTTTCAAGTGCTGTCTGATTTCATGGCTTTCTTTGTGGATGTCGTCAATGTTTGCCAGGGCGTTTCTGAACAGAGGCTTCAGGGCCTTTGTGGTAGGGTTAAACCTGCTGTTGTTCGAGTCCCACATCACAATGCTATCGCAAAATATCGCGCCGGTGTATAGCAGCGCGAGTGTTGTGTATATTTTGTAGTACTTGCGCATGCAGGGCCATGCGCTGCGCTACATATATTTGTGGGTGTAACGATGCTTCATTTTTGCATGTTCTGCACGCTTTAGACTGCTCGCATCTTCGGCATGAAACGGCTTCTGCCCGCCCGCGCCAACGAAATTTATGGCTGAACAAAGAACGCAATAGGCCCATTAAGGCCATTTTAAACAATGAAACCAGAAAGCACAGAAAGCAGCCGAATGCTCGTGCAACCCCTCTGCGCGCAAGCCCGAATTGCGCTTTTCTGTGTGGTTTCTGCGGAAACAGCGGGCTGAAAGTGAAGTGGGCCTGGGTGCTAAGACATTTTTGGCTTTTTCTGCTTTTCTGCTTGTTTGTCTGTACGAGGCCTGTGAGGAGGTATGAGCGCACAAGAAGGAAAAAAGCGCGCAGGCTATAAGGCGTTGGGCGCGGAATTTCTTAAATCCATTTGTGCCTGCAAAGCCTTCTATGGGCCAAGCTCCAGAAAATGCGCCGGAAATGGAACAGCATAGGGCTTGCTTTGGCCTTTGAGAATCCAGGCCTGCGCGATTTGCAAACTATCTGTAGAGAAAAGCAGCCGCACCCAGAAAGCATGCTGCTAGCAAGCGGAAAACAGGATGTTTTCTGAGAGTCCAGCCGCTTGGGCTTCTTTTGGCAAGATCACCCCCGCTGTGCAGCAGCCAAAACCACCAAAGCGTGCGATATGTGAAAATGCAAAGCCAATGTGGCAGTAAAACAATATAGAAGAGCCAGCGCAGGCCTGGTGTTTTTCATCGCATCAAACAATGTATCATGTGATGTTTATATTGAATCATGATGGCCCAGTTCATGAAGAAGATATCAGGCAAACCTGTAATACATTCTGCAGTATTCTGCATCCTTGCATTTCTTGCGCATACTAGTGCGAGAATGCACGAATTCACCAAAGTAGATTCAGGAATAGTTAGATCCGGCCACCCCCATCCTCCATATGGCACCAATTCACATGTACCACAACCTCAATATGGCACCAGGACAGACGATGTGCCTCCATCAAACCAGCAAACCCCAAATGGCCCTCCGACAAAGCAGAAAAAAAGAATAATGTACTACAGTAACAAGATCAACGCAGGGTATCTCTACAGTGTGGGCGCACAGAAGTACATCGGAACAGACCCAAACGAGTATTGGCTTTCTGCAGTCGAGAGTACATCCGCGCCTTTGCTGATTTCTATAGTTCCCTCATATGGAAACAGAATTGGAAGCTACATGGAAATAATTGACATAAAGGACAAAGACCATCCGCAGCTGGGAAGAAAGGCGTCAAATGACTTCCACTACGGCGCGAAAAGGTTTGACGTTGGCGGTGGGCCCCATAAAAATAGATGCTACCTGTACGGAGCCACGTCGACTTACAATCGGTTTGTGATAACTCCTCCGTACTACAAGGAAGGCCCCGCCTTTAAAATCATAAGGAACTCGTCCTGTTTGGGAATAGACTCTGCAAACAATCTGATGGAAGTGGGCTGTGTGGACGACACCACAGATGGCTACGGAACCACAGAAAATGACATGCAGCTCTTCGAGTTCCATCCTGTAGGGTGCGGGGACAAGTGCGCCGAGGTGTAGCGGCCTGCATATTTCCAGCGCGCTCTAGCTTTTTGATAGCCCGTTCTGTAGTCTGGTGCGCTTGATTGGCCTGCGGCACAAAACACCTGTTACATATTCTCATACTGTGTTTTATGTTTTTGGCCAGCATTGGGCTGATTTGATACTTATAAATAAATAAGAAGAATCTATCTGTGTAAGTGATGGTTTCTTTGATAAAGATCACAGCATTGCTCTGTGCATGTATACACCACGCAGGCGCCTCTGCCGTGTACTTAGACTCGGACTTTGAAATCAACACGTCTGGATACTTGTACAACATAGGCGCAAAGAGGTACCTGGGGCTGGAGCCAACTAAGAAGCTGGAGATTGTGGGCATTGAAGAGCCCCGAAAGGCCCTGCGGTTTCGGGTATATCTGAACAAGTTTGCTGGCGACGCAGGGTTTGTTTTTATGCTGGACGAGGGGCTGGACGACGTGGTGGGCGCAGGAAAATCCCCAACCGCCAAGCAGATGCACGAGAAGCCTGCCATGAAAACGTGCACGAGCAGCGCATCAAAAAAGGTCATTCTGGAAAAGTACACAGGCTCCAACCACTTTGGGTTCTTTGTGACGCCGCCTGTGCTTCTGCACGAAAACGCGTTCAACCTCATGGTGGGGGAATACTGCATCGCATATGACAGCGAGACAACAAGCATAAAAGCCACTGGCTGCCAAGAGACTCCGCTAGACAAAAGAAACAAGCAAATGTTTGCGTGGGTTGACTCGAAAACGTACAACAGAGGAGTCGATCCAATTTCATACCGGCCAAACCCGTATGCGCACATCCAGAACAAGCCAAGGGAGGAGAAAAAGGAAAACGCGTGCAAGGCCAGCCAAAGCGAAGAAAAAGCGCACGACCATCTTGTCAATCCGTCGAATCTGGCCTTCCAGAAGCCGTACAGGCCCGAGAAAGCAGAAGCCCAGATCCCTGAATACTGCAAATAATTTGCCTTCTATTGCAAGAGGGCTTTGCCTCTTTCTAATATACAAATTCAATAAATACTCCTAACACTAGCCTAAAAAGCTTGTAAAAGCACACAGCGCGCAGGACAGAGCTATTTTAGAGCGCTATGTTTCCAAGAAGGGCGCTCTTTCGAGCGGGCAGCGCGCACTGGCTCAAGTCGAAACGGTGCAGCCGAAAAAAGCAGGCCCAGCCTCTTCTATGTGCAGGTGTGAACTAAACTCGGTTACATTGCAGCGGATATAAAGAAAAACAAATGTTTCTGGCATGTGTAAAAGAACTATTTCTATAGCTATGCTTTATATGGCAGCCCATGTCTTCTTGGTATCTTTCGCCAGCGCCGAAGGCAAGGACGGGGAGGGAATTGTGCTGCTAAAGGACAAGCTGAGGGACAGAAACTCTTTCATATCTAACCAGGCAGGGTACTTGTACAACGTTGGAAGGAAGCACTTTCTTGCCTCGGAGAGAGAAGTAATTGGAAACGGCACTGTGCCCGTAAGAGTAAGCTACGAAGTGAGGAATGCGTCGCCGTTTAAAATCAGAAGGGTTGTAGTGGATGGCGGGTATCCCATGAATGTACTGGAGTCTATGGACGACCTGTTAAACACCCCATCAAACGGCATTTACCATCGAGTGCTTGGCCTGAAGGATAGAGGGTCTGCACCTGCGACCTTAAACAAGTACAAGCCAGACAGCCGGCACACCATATCAGTTTATCCAGAAGTTGTGGCCAAAGACAGGGTTGTCTTTAGAATATTCATAGAAGACAAATGCATCGGCGTTTCTGAGCACGGAACTCTTTCAAACCAGACATGCAGATACATAGGAAGCCACGCCGACTACAAAAACCAGCTATGGATATGGGTTCCTGCAGCCAGGTTCCAGAGAGAAACCAAAGGCAAAAAAGTCAATGTAGATTACGAAGCTATCGACAAGGAGGAAACCCAAAACGGCAGGTGCAAGCCCTGTCCTCCGCCCTCCCAGGCCGCCTGCAAGAGTCAGGGCTATATATCGCCCTACGACTGCCCCAATAAAGGAAAATACTACAAGGAAAGAAGATGTATCATGCCCCCGCGGATCCTGGAGAAGCAGAACGGCATGCGCTACAATTATTACAGCCCCTATAGACATGGCATAGCGCCATCAGGATACTACGGGGCAATGGACAAAATCAAGAGGTACGATTAAAATAAGTTTGCCTAGCGACACCAGACATGCGTGCATGGATTTTTTCTTATATGCATGCAAAAACGCGCACTCTATAGAGCTGCAGCGCTCTACATGACACAGTAGCTGCCGGGGCTTTGGGGCTCTCCTTTGTGGAGGGCGCGTCGTGTACATGCTAGTTTTGCTAGAAGTCGCCGGTATGTCTCTGTGGCCTATGCTGGAGGCGCTTTTTCTCGCAATGCTGTTGTTGCACAGTAGGAAAGGGTTATATGGCTGGGAAAAATTGTAATTTTTATTATAGCCATACGACAAAATAAATATGTTGTAGTAAAACAATCCATTACATTTTATATACTGGTAGACAGCAAGTATAACTTCATAGGAATGAAATGAAGCGAGCATGTCGTAGAGATGCAGTCGAAAAGCATAGATGCGGGGCATGTTTGATATGCCAGATGCAAGCAGAGGCGAGAGAAGCTATTTTAAGAGCTCCCAGTCTATTAATAAACCGTTGCAGAGTTGGTTTTAAACCCGGAGCATAGAACAAAGAGTTTGCGGCGTATATAAATGTTTAAGAAGATGCGCCCGGACAGGCACAGCTCTGGGCTTTGCGCGGCGTCACAAAGGATAAATTTGGTTGGAATCTGCAACTTTGCGGCAGGCAGGCCGATTACGTCTGTATCTTCGGGCCGTGTTTTATGCGCTGCTGCTTGAGCTTCTGTGCGCGGAACGGGCAAGCTCGCCAATGCTCTTCCCATGCGAAGGCGTGCTTACAGCGCTCTTTCATGGCTGCAGAAAGGCACATTTTCTAGAGAGTGTGTACTTTTCCATAGACCGGCGCACTGACCCGGCTCTGGCATAGTGATGCTACCCCGGGCGCATGTTTATTGCTTTAAGTGTAGGCTCGCCCTCAGCCTGCTCTTTAAACATAAAACTCCGGGGTGTTGCGCTTTAGACGCAGTTAAATGATGCGCAATTGCCTCGCCGTGGCGTTAGGAAATCTTAGGGCTAGCCCTAAACATAGCCAAGCTGATTTCTGTGGGCCCTTTCAGAATTCTGCACAACAAGATGCAAGCACACAAATAGTTTATTGCTGCGTGTGCTGAGAGGCTCTGGAAAAAGAAAAAAGCTGCAGCAGGACAGGGCAGGGCTTGGTATTTTATGCACAGTAGAAATGAAACCTAAGTGATTTTAAAACAAGTTATCAAAATGAAACAGGTTACACACATCACAGTATAATTGTAGCTCAGACGTGATGATTATGATTGCAAGAATATTCATTCGGGTGTTTGGGCTGCTAGTTAGCAGTGCATGCTGGGCTATGGGCATGGATGCAAGCGCATTTTCGATGGGTTCTCCAGGCTTCCTATACAATGTGGGGGCGCAGTCCTTTTTGGCCTGGGAAAATCAGGCAGATAGCAAAACCTTGTGGATAAAGGGCGTTTCTTCAGGAAAGCTCGCTAGCCGGTTCAAAATCCACATGGGGAAATACCACAGCGCCACGTACAGCCTTATTATGTCGGCCGACCCAAGCCTTCTCACAAAAGCAAAGAAAAAATACACAAACAAAACTTCGAGCCTGCCGTTCTATGGGTTTCCAACCATGAGCAGAATGGGGAATGCCTCGTCTGAGAAGCACTTTGGGATCTCTGCTGCCACAACCAACCCCAACAGCTGGTTCTCCTTTTCGCCTCCCATCACAAAAATGAACTTTTTCAAGATATATCTCAACAACCAGTGCCTTTCTGTTGAGCGCGAAGGATACCTCAAGCTAGAAGAGTGTGTTTCTTTGCCCATGGAGAAGCAAATGAAACAGCTTTTCAAGTGGTTCCCGGAAAGCGAGCACATTGTGGTGAGCACCCGCTACACGCAGAAGATCTCAGTGCAAAACGAAAGCCGGGCGCCAAGAAGAAAGAACCAGGTGCAGGTCCGCAAGCAGGCCCCGAAAAAGCCCACAATAACGACAAGCGTGCACATTAAAACAACGATTCCTGCAGCAAGCGGCCAAGGCCGGCCAGAAATCAATGGGAAGCCGCGCGGGTACTACGATGACCCGGCAGTGATTGTAACCAACAGGGTGAAAACCATGGTCGAGGGCGAAGACGGCGACTCTGACTCGTACTACCAGCCAAACAAGGCGAAATTTGTCATGCCGCCAGGATTCACATAGGAGCACACAGACCTAAAGCGCAATAAAAGTTGGTTAAATGAATTTTTTTCGAGGGATAGAGGGGGGCACACGCCCACGTTGCAATATTTCAAGCGCTTTCAAGCGTGCTGTGCTCGGCCTGCAGGGGCTTGGGAGACCGCATCTGCGCAGGCATGCAACCTATAGGCGTGTCTTTATATGATACATGGTTGCAAGATAGACATAAATTATTTGATTTTTTACAAATCATGAGTCTGCTAGAGAAACTTGTGCTTTTCTGCTCTGGCTTGCTGTTTTTGCTGCAGGTCCTGGCGCTGGGGGAAAACTATGAGAAGTCTAAGTACAGCGAAAACAGTGTGGGCCGTCTTTTCAGCATAGGAATGAAGAAGTATGTTACTTTGTACAACACAGGAGGCAAAGAGTATGCAGACGTTGACGAAAAGAAGGAGATGGCTACTCGGCTGTACATCCGAATCATTCGAGATGGATCGATGACGCACGGAGTTATTCTGTCGGCAGAGGAAAAAGACCAGGAAAAGTGCGCAAACAAGACAGAAGATTACGGGTCTGGGTACTCGGCGCAGTACTTGGAATGCCCTGGGTTTTCGGTCGAGGGCAAGGAAGGCAACCTCATTGCGCTGGCTCCGTACCAGAACGAGGCCATGTTTAAGTTTATGTTTTCCCCCGCGACCCTGTCTCGACTTCACGGATTCCGGATATATAATGAAGGCAAGTGCATTGCTGCCAACTCAAACGGACAGCTTTTCGCCGACGAGTGCGAGTACATCGACACGATCAAGAAGGCCAACCAAATTTTTTCCTGGGTGGACGACACGCTTTTCAGCAAAGACTACAACCCAATGGGGGTGCTTGACCAAACCACGAACCCTGCAGACCCGTACTACGACGAGTACAACAAAAACATAAATACCGCTTGGATAGACCCAAATCCGACATAAGCCAAGCCAGCGCGCTATAAATAAACAATACACACCTTTCCAGCATACTTCTGCCGCACACAACCGCTTTGCTCTGTGCTTGCGCGCATGCGTTTGTCCCGCTGCGCTCTCGAGTGCAGAAGCCTTTTCCATTCGCCTTGCCTGGCGCAAAGCAGCGTTTTCCTTAGGCCCCATCCAGGTGATACGTAGTTTGTATGTGGTGTTTTATTCCTGAAACATTGATTTAAACTATATAATCATAATGGATTCGCAGAGCACAGCATGAAAATCGTAGGACTTCTTATTCTTTTGGCGCCTCTGTGTGCACAGGCCATGAACACTGCGCAGAAAGGCGTTCTGCACGTAGTCTCGAGAAGCGAAATAACGCCAAGAGCGGATGAAATCATGTTTGACAACAACACGCCCGGGTACTTGTACAACATAGGAACAGACGGATACATCTTCAACATTGAAACGATCGGCATGGGGGAAACAACCTCCGCACTTGCCATCACGTACAAGCCCGAGGACGCCATGCAGGTCAAGATCATCCGGAAGGCGTTCAAAGACCTGACATACCATGTTATCACGCCCGTAGAGGGCACGTGTGCAGGCAACGACCCCTCCAGCGCTGAGGGCGAGTGCGTGGCCAAGTACACTACGCAGCTGGGGAACAGAACCGGCTTTATTCTGGACACGGAAAAGCCCATGTTTGCCAACTACTTCATGTTTTCGCCTCCTTTAACAACGAAAACACACGCCTTCCAGATATTCAACCAAGGCCAGTGCCTCACCTCGGACCCTGCTGGGATTTTGGACCTGTCCGACTGCATAGATTCCCCCTCAAAAATGAGAGACCGGCAGCTCTTTATGTGGGTCAACAAAAAGTGGTTTGACAATGGAATGCGGATTCGAGAAGAGGCTGCCAAAGCCCAGAGCTCGGCATAAAAGAAATAAACACAGCGCGCTTGCTTGCTTTCTGCTTTGCTTTTCTGCGCGCTTCTGGTGCAAGGAGGTTAAATATAAATGTATGTGCAAGCACACAGCAACAAAGTGCATTTATGTTGCTCACGTATTGAACAGCGTCTTATAAAAGTCCTGCCTTCGAATGAGCATGGGGGAAAAATGGAAAAAAATAAATACGGCAAGTCTTTGGGCGTTCTTAAATCTGAAACAAAACAAGGTATCAGAATCAGCATTAGTGCATAAATAGCCATGAATCCGAAGCATATATGCGAAAAACACAAGCATGCATTCTTATATCAATATGTATCTTCTTGTACCAAGCATATGCAAAAAGGTCGGGCTCGAGAAAAAGAGATAGGGACCTCGAAGACCTAATCAAGAACGGCGAGGAAAAAGTAGGAATCCTGGTCGGCTCGTTTGTCGGGGACTTTTTCCTAGCGGTGAAGGGCGGAAAGCTTGTTGGCGTGAAGGACTTTAAGAAGGCAAACCTTTTTGACATAGACCTCCCAACGAAGGAGAGCCCAGACAAGGAGGTAAAGCTTGAGGTGTGGGTGAAGGGAAAGAAGTTTGTAATCACGTACAACTCCGTGGGGGAAGACATAAACATCGAAATCCCGATGGAGGCAGACGCGGACGCAAAGTCCAACCTCACGATTATTAGAAATGTAATAGCGGAGAACGCCCGCAAGGCAGCCTTTGAGGTTATGTCGTCGCAGAGAAAGAGGTGCTTCTCCATCGACCCAAACACAACCGAGGTCACCTTGCAGGAGTGTGCCAACGGGTCCAACGACATGCAGACGTTTAGGTTCCTCTCGTTCAAAGAGGCAATCAAAAACGAGGCAAACAAGCGCGGGGGAAGCGCCTTCAGCATGGGCGAGTACACATCGAACACCCGCGTTCCTGCCAATAGCATATTTGTCGCAGACAAGTCTGGGGTTCTCTACAACCAGTAGACAGCCAACTCATAATAAAGCAGTGCTACTGTGGAAAAGGCTGCTCAAACATACCAGAGGGATTCCTTTACTCCGGCCGCTCTGGATGGCCCTGTCTGCGCGTGCTGTCTGTCTTGCTTGTTTTTGCACTTGCAGAAAGTTTTATGAAAGTAAATAAATGCATACATTTCTACTTAAATGCGTACCACTTATTTATTTATTTATGCAAAAAAAGCGTGCACCCAAAGGCCTAAAAAGCTTCTCTGCGGCCAGAGGCGCAGCATTCGCGCTGTTTTCGGTTCGGGCAAACAGGCACATTAAAACAGAGCATTTATTTTGTGTTCGCTGGCAGCTGGCAGCCGTTCAGCAGCCCAAGTCCACGGCTGACTGCGCCATGCCTATGGCAGAAACGCACACAGATCCTCTCGGGCAGACTCCAGCGACGCCGGCTCCACGAGGGACTCCTTTACGCTGAAGAACCGCTCGCCCATCTGCAGGGTTTCGCCTCGGAATGTGCAGACAAACAGCTGCCTGCCGTCAAAGACCCGGCTCTCGACAATGTTCAGCAGGACCTGTGTGTCCAGATTTGCGTCAAACTCGTCCATCAGGTAGAAGGGGGCCTCGTATATTCTCTGGACCGCAAGTATCATGCACAGCGCAACAACTGCCTTCTGCCCCCCGCTCAGCTCGTCGGCCTGCACCATCTCCTCTCCGGAGAAGGCCGTGCTTATGTCCAGGGCCTCGGCCCCGCGCACTGAAACGCAGGCGCTTCCGCCCGTCAGCTTTCTGAAGAAGTACTCGAAGTTGGACTTGACTTGGAATATTGTTATGTTTATAACCTGCTCTTTCTTCTGCTCGAGGTGCGCCTGCATTTCCAGGATCTTCTCTTTGGCGTGCCCCAGCTCCTTCAGCTTGTCCAGCGTCTTGTTGTAGTCGCTGAGCATTTGCTCCGAGGCCTCCGAGCTTGACACCGCCTCTGCAAGCTCCTTCTTCAGCACGGACAGGGCGCGCACCAGCTCCTCCTTTGGCGCGCTCTGCAGGGATACTTCCTGCCCGCACACAGACACGGTCTCTCTGCTCTCCACGTCAAGCGACAGAATTCTCTTTTGGATGCGCCGAAACTTTCCCTCCAGCCGGCCCTTTTCTGCCATCTGCTGCGCCCACTCTGGAGAGCCGACAAACTTGAGAAGCCGGTCCTCAACGGCCTTTGCCTGCGCCTCAAGCCTTGCCCTTTCCGCTGCCGCTTCGGCGCGGGCTTCGGCGCGGAGACACTCCTCTATTTCCAGGCGTATTTTGTGCGTGGATGTTTTCTCAAGGTCTGTTCTCTTCTGCAGAAGCTCGACCTCAACGTCAAAGTCTTCGTTTTCCAAAAGAAAAATTGCGTCTTCAATGTACCCAGGCGCACAGAGAGCTGCGTCTGCCGAGGCTTTTTCGTACTCAAACATAACTTTTTTCTTTTCCTCCTGGATTGCGGCAGCCTCTTCCAGAGCCTCTCTGTACTTTGCCTTTGTGCCCAAGTACGCCTTAAACATGTACGAAGACTTGTCGCTCCCCCCGGTTATGGCGCCAGAGCTTCCAAAGTACTCCCCGGCCGCGGCAACCACCGTGGCGCGGTGCACCCTCGATGCCGTCTTTGCAGTCTCAAAATCCGACACAAAGTATATCCTGCCAAACAGCTTTTCCACCAGCGCCGCGTACTTCTCCGACGAGGAAATGTACTGCGAAAACGCCATAAGAGGAATGGCCGGCCCGGCGCGCGGAGCAGCGTCTTTTCCGGGGAGGGCGATCACGGGCTGCTCTATGTTGTGCTCTCGCACCAGGCGCACTGCGTCCTCAAGAGTTTCTGTTACAATTGTTGCAAGCAAGTTTGGAATTGCGGTGGAAACAGCGGACAGGATCTCCTTCGGCATGGTTATGAGGTCGTACACGTACCCAACAACGCCCTTTTCAGCCAGAATCTCGGCCCCCAGAGAGAACGCCTTCTGTGTCAGGAGGAAGGCTCTTTCCGCACTCTTCATCTCCTCCTCCAGCGCCTTCATCTTCTTTGCATGCTCGCTCTCTCTCTTGCAGACGCTCCGCTTGCTCTCCAGCAGGGCTTCTTTTTCGTGGATGCTTTGCTCCCTCCCCGCGTGCGTTCTAAGCGCCTTTAGTTCGCGCAGCTTCTTCTCTGCAGCGTCCTTGCCCCGCATGCGCAGGATGTTGATCTCAGGCCGAATTGCCTTGCTGCTCTCCTCCAGCCTCTCCAGGCGGGATATTTCCACGTCCAGGCAGGCCCGCTCCCGCTCCTTCGCAGCAAGGAGCTTGTCCAGGTCTTCTCTCCTGGGCGCGCCCTCGCCTCTGCACGCTGCCTCCCCCTGCGCCGGGAGCGCGTGTATTGCAGACAGAATCTCCTCGAGCTGCATCCGCAGAGCCGCTTCTGTCGCGTCCTGCGTGTCCTCCACGTGGCTTGCCTCCTCTGTGAAAAGCCCCTCCAGCTTGGCACGCACTTTGGCCAGCTCTCTTTTGTACAGCTCTCTGACTATTGTTTCTTTGGCGGCCTCTGCCTCCTTCCTCTGCAAGGCCCGCAGCTTGTCGCGCTCTATTGCCTCGACTCTTTTCTCAATTGTGCCCACAAGCTCCTCTATCCGCTGCTCTATCGACCCGGACTCTGAAAGCACGCGCGAAATCTCCTCCTTGTCTTTCTCATACACAGCAGACCCGGCAAGGTCTCGGATCAGGCGCATGCGCGCAGGGCCGTTCATCTGCGCCAGCTCTCCAATCTTCCCCTGCTCGACCACGAAGTAGGGCATGACTTTTGAAATTCCAGCAGTTTCGTAGAGGGACACCATCTCGTCCCTGGGAACCGGGCGCCCGTCCACGCAGTACTCGTCCGACTTTTGCGTGATGGATCTCCGGACAACGACAGTCTCGCCTGCAGGGAAGGCCTTGTTTGCGTTTTCAAACTCTATCTCCACATGCGCCTTCAGCTCCTTGCTGTTTTCATTCACAAAAATCCGTCTCTCCACAGGCCCTATTCTCTGGTGCGCGTCAATCACAAACTTAATGGCGCTCAGAATACTGGACTTTCCTGCCCCGTTTTTCCCTATAAGCACGTTTGTGTGCTCGGACACGTTCTCGAGAACAGTTTCCTCCGAGAAGCTTTTGAAATTGAAAAGAGCTATTCTTCTTATTCTCATGGCGCTGTAAAATTTTTATGAGAAGAATAGCATATTTCTATGCCGCAGACTCTGGAAGCTTCCACTATGGCGCAGGGCACCCCATGAAGCCCCACAGAGTCGCAGTAACGCACTCTATAGTGTTTGCATACGGGCTGCAGAAGTACATGGACGTGTTTGCCATACGGCCTGCAACCAAAGTCGAAATGCAGGAGTACCACACAGAAGAGTACATAAACATGCTTTCTCAGGACTATCTGGAGATGCCGTGCGACAGAGTGACAGAAGACTGCCCGTCATTTGAGGGCATGGGGGAAATGTGTGCTTTGTACTCGGGCGGGTCTCTGCAGGCTGCGCGTGCCATAAATGAAAAGCAGTACGACATTTGCATAAACTGGGCTGGCGGCCTGCACCATGCAAAGAAGGCCGAGCCGAGCGGGTTCTGCTACGCAAACGACATAGTTCTGGCGATACAGGAGCTCCTCAAGAAGCACCGGAGAGTGATGTACATAGACATAGACATACACCACGGAGACGGCGTGGAGGAGGCGTTCTACCACACTGACAGAGTGATGACAGTGTCTTTCCACAAGTACGGGGACCGGTACTTCCCAGGGACAGGCAACATATGCTGCACAGGGCGCGGGAAAGGGAAGGGCGCGAGCGTGAACGTGCCCCTGGACTTTGGCATTGACGACGAGTCGTACCACTATGTGTTTAAGCACGTGGTGAAGATGTGCGTGGACTCTTTTGTGCCCGAGGCGATTGTCATGCAGTGCGGGTCTGACTCGCTGGCTGCGGACAGGATAGGGTGCTTCGGGCTAAGCATCAAGGGGCACGGCGAGTGTGTCCGGTTTGTTAGAGACCTGAAAATTCCCTTGCTGGTGCTTGGCGGGGGCGGGTACAAGCCCAAGCATGTTTCCAGATGCTGGGCATACGAGACGTCGATACTGTGCAACGTGGACGTGCCAAATGCAATCCCGAAGAACCCGCACTCTGACTACTTGGGAGAAAACGCAGTTCTGCACATAGACCTGCAGTGCGAGTACACGAACAAAAATGTGCGGGACAACCTGGACAGAATTATATCAATAGTGCACGAGATACTAACAGAGCGATAGAAAGGCACCAATTGTATATTAGCGCGCGCGAGAAAGCCAGGGCGCACAAGAACATCAGAACGAAAATAAATAAAGCGTTAGAGCAAATAAGTGTGCCCAGGCGGGCTCAGGAAAGCAGGTGTGCGTGTGGCAAAGCCGGGTTTATTCACGGTGCAGTGCTGAAAACAGGCTGCTGCACACTGTCTATGTATTCGGGCTATTCATCCGGGGTTATAAAGACCCTTCTGGCAAGTTCCATGTATACCTTTTCGCCGTGCTTGATCGGGGGGAAGAAGTAGCACTTCATAAGGCCCTTTTCGCCAAGCGGCTTTTTGATGTGCCCCTCCTTTTTCAGGCTCGAGTACAGCTTGATGTCCTTGAAGTATTTAACCTCTTCTCGTGTGCGGAACATTTTTCCAATCACGCAGGACCTCTTCTGTATTTTTACAGGAACCCCTCTAAACACGACTGTTTTAATAATAATAGGGTCTTTTCTAATTGCATGGAGCGCGCTTCCCACCGTCCGCCCGTCCAGGGAAATGGCGATTTTATCGTCTGTGAGCACCAGAGGGCCTATAAAGCAGATGGTTCCTGTGGTTCCCTCTGTTTTGCACTTCACAACTTCGGTTCCGTTTCCAAATACAAGTGTTCCGGGCATCGAGTGGAAAAAGCCAAAGTCAAAAAACAGGTTTCTGTTGTACATGCTGATCGTTTCCTTTGCGGAGAACCCTAGCGTGCATATGGTTGGAGAGCCTTCGTAGTCGAAGAGCCCGTGCACGGAAAGCTGCCCAGAAAGCATGCATGCACCAAACGCCTCCATGCTAGCGGGGTCTACTTCAAACGTCAGCTCAAACGGCGTGCGCACAGGAACAGGGCTCTTCTTTGCCAGTATCTTTCGCCTTGCGCGCTCGGACCCGATAAAGCTCAGCTGGGTGTAGTACTCTGGCAGATTCTGCGTCCTAAACACCTTTATGGTCTCGTTCTCGCGGTCAGACGCCTTTTTGTGCAGGCCGAGGTTGATGGTTTTGAACCCCTTGAAGCCTTTGTACTTCTGGATCAGCTCTTTTTTCTTGTTTTCCGAGCCCAGCGCCCCGTACCCGACAAGGTCGTCCGAGTTGACTTCGCATGAGCTTTCCTCATACTCGACCTCCTCGAGGTCCGCATAGTCCTCACTTTCGTCCTCGCTGTCTTTTTCTTCCTCGGTTTCCTCCAGGTTCACGCACCCAAGCGAGTCGTCCGAGTACTCAGGCTGGTCGTTGATGTTGTTCTCGGATATCCGCAAGTGCGAAATAATGTCCGCCATGGCGTCGCCTTCCTCCTTCTTTTTCTGGTATATGTCCTCCTTAGTGAGGGGCGCCAGCCCGGATATGTCCAGCGGCTTTCCGTCCACCAAGATCTCCCGGATCTGCGCAATAATGCTTCCGTTGATCAGTATGCGCCCAGAAACAAAGCCCTTGTCCACAGCGCCTGTGATTTTAAACAGCCGCTCGCCAAGCTGCTCGAGCGTGTCCGGCAGGAAGTGGGGGCGCGTGTGCCGCTTTCTGTTCAGAACTGTCTTGCTTTCCAGCACCCGGCCTATTTCGTTTAGCGTGTAGACTTTTGTTTTTCCAAACGTCTTCTTTATGCTTTTCTTTATGTCTGCAGAAGCCGCTCTAAGACACGACAGAAAAATCAGATTGTCCTGCTTTGTCTGCCCTATAAGATTGCTGACGTCGTTGTTGATTTCTTTATCAACAAGCACGATGTTTATGTCGGCGCCCTGCATCCGCGCCTTCATTGCGTGGGGGGCGTCCGGGGCGTTTGCAAGGAGCATAAACGTCCCCTTTTTTGTGGAGACTCGGCTCCCGATGTATGTCTTTTGGCTGTTTATTCTCTCCTCGTCCACCTCGCGCTTTCCTATTGACGTTAAAATAGAGGGAAGGACGTCCTCAGCGCCAACACACGTGCCCATGGACGTGACCACAATGGTTGAAACCAGTCCTGCTGCGGCTCTTTCTTTCTGTGTCTGCCCCTTTAATCCGGGGGATGCTTTTCGTATGGCCATTCTGAAAATTTTTCCAACTTGCCATTATAAAATACTTCTGCCAAACAGGCTGTGCGTCTCGCCTTGCTCTTAGAGCGCAAAGTCCAAAAAGTGATTTTTCGTTTGTTTAGAAAGCCAAACAAACAGCACACATTCTGTATATTCTGTGTTTTCTATTTATTTACTCATGAACAGAAGCAGCTCTGAGAAGAATCAAGTGGTTTTGCTTCCCAAAAAGACGCTGTGGCAGCAGTTCACAAACATATGCACGTCTTTCATTCCTGCGTTTATTCTTCGGGTTTTTGGAATGAAGTCAAAGGAGGTGCAAAGCGCCTGGAGAGAAAAGGTGGCGCTGTGCTGCATAATCACATTCGCATGTGCGTTTTTGTACTTTATCACGTATGGGCTCACAATGTGGATGTGCAAGCCGGCGCTTGTGTACACGCAGGAGAAAATGGACGAAATAAGCAGCTACCCGTGGGTGATTGCGCACGGAAGGATACTCAGCCTCGACGAAAGCGACAAGCTGGCTGGGCACTCTGGGAGCATCGTTTCCCATCTGTTCAAGGCAAACGCCCCGTCATGCATGGGGGCTTTCCCGGAGTTTTCATTCGGGAAAATAGGCTCGCTCGACAGGGGAAACTACACAGAGGTTGGGCCTGCCCATTACACATGGGCCTCTGTTCTGAAAAACAAGCTCGTGGTCATAGGCTCAGGGGTGTATAGCACGGACGGAATTCCGCTCCCCCCCAAGCTGGAAGCTCTAAGCCAGTCGGTGGACGGGACGCGCGCAAGCGAGTCTCTTTCTCCAAAGGAGCTCCAGTGCTTCAAGGAGCTCTGCTATGCAGGGGATCTGGCGCTGCAGTCGACAGGGTGCCAGATTACGTATGCGTTCCTGTATCTGTCGTGTGCTGCAATACTTGGGCTGGTGCTGATCCGGTTCTTCCTTGCAGTGGCGTACTCCGTGATCATGAAGATATACACGTGGCAGCTTGTGAGAAAAACAACGGATGTGCTTCCGGTTATTTTGATGACGACGTGCTACTCGGAGGGAAGAGAAGGGCTCAAGTCTACGCTAGACAGCCTGTGCATCCAGGAGTACGACAAAAAGCTTATTATTGTGGTGGCTGATGGGTTTATAACGGGCGCAGGCAACGACGCGTCGACGCCAGAAATACTGAAGTCTTTGATTCGGCCCAAGGAAAACAACCCGACAAGCGAAATGGACACCTCTGGAAAACAGTACATTTCAATCGCGGCTGGCGCAGCCAAGATAAACCATGCAGAAATACACGCTGGCACGTACACCGTGCAGACAAAAACCGGGCAGGTGAAGACCGACATAATTCTGGTGCTGAAAACAGAGAATCGCGGGAAGCGGGACAGCCAGATGGTGATGATGAGCTTTTTCCACCACGTGCTGTACCGGACGCGCATGACCCAGCTGGACCTGGACCTATACAAGAAGATCCGGACTCTGACAGGAATGTCGCCGGACGCATTTGGGGCAATTCTTATGGTTGACGCCGACACAACGGTGAGACAGGGCGCAGTGCGCATAATGGCAAGAACCATGCAGAGCGACGAGTCTATCATGGGAATATGCGGGGAGACGCTCATCTCAAACAAGTTTGGGTCGTGGGTGACCGCAATCCAGGTCTTTGAGTACTACGTCAGCCACCATCTGGCCAAGGGCTTTGAAAGCGTGTTTGGAAACGTAACGTGTCTTCCTGGGTGCTTCTGCATGTACCGGATAAAAGTGGAGAGAAACAACGGGTGCACGCCCATTCTGGTGTCTCCGGCAGTCCTGCATGCGTATGGGAGCGACGAAACCAAAACGCTGCACGAGAAAAACCTGCTGCTCCTGGGAGAAGACCGGTACCTGACCACGCTTCTGCTCAAAAACTACCCAAAGAAGAAGCTGGTGTTTGTCCCCAGCGCCCTCTGCGACACCATTGTCCCAGACAAATTCTCGGTTCTCCTGAGCCAGAGGAGGCGGTGGATAAACTCGACAATACACAACCTGTTTGAGCTTCTGCGGGTGGACCTGTGCGGAACGTTCTTCTGCTCGATGCAGTATGTGGTGATCCTGGAGCTGTTTGGAACCCTGGTGCTGCCCGCGGCTGTGCTCTTTACAGTGGTGCTGATCGTGTCCTCAATCGTCTGGGTTCCTGTGTGGATCCCTTTGTTCCTCCTGTTTGCAATCCTCGGGCTTCCCTCTATGCTGATTTTCTTCACGAACTTCAACCTCTTCTACTTTTTCTGGCTGGGCATATACCTTTGCTCCATCCCAATATGGAACTTTGTGCTGCCCATGTACGCGTTCTGGCACTTTGACGACTTTTCGTGGGGAGAAACCCGGCAGATCACTGGAGGCGCCCCGAAGGGCGGGCACGGCGCAGAAGACCCGGCAGACGCCATAGACTCAAGCGTAAAAGCCGTGCTGATCGACTTTGACGAGGTCGAATAGCCTGGGCTGCTGCAGGGCAGCTCTTTGTATATTTTACACAAAACGTAATGGACACGAATAAACACAAGTTATTCTTAGCGCATGGCCTTTCCAGAAAAACACAGAATTATTTGCGCCTTCTGGGCCGTGCTTGGCCAGATCCAAAGATTTTTCCAGGCGAGAAAAGCACAGCCCGCGCGCTGCGCTTATGCCAAGGCACACACGGCGGGAGGCCGTCTGCAGGCTCTGTGCAAGCGCGTGTGCTTTGCTTTTTTGGTGGTTGGGCTTATATATTTTTTTTTATTCATGCCCCAGTTATAATAGTATGGACCAACTAACAGCAGCACTGAAGACAATAAACAACGCCACAATAAGCGGAAGATCCGAGGTACTTGTTAGATCGCCAAACAAGATTGTGAAGAGTTTTTTAGAGTTTATGCAGAGCAAGGGATACATTGGTACCATTGAGTATGTAGACAACCACAGAAAAGGGAAGGCCATTATTGCGCTCAACGGAAGGCTGAACAAGTGTGGGGCAATTTGCCCACGGTTTGACGTCCCATTCCGCGACTTAGAGAGATGGAGAAAGCTACTCCCTGCAAGACAGTTTGGGCACGTCGTTATGACTACCTCAAAGGGGATACTGGACCACAAAGAATGTGTTGAACAGCACACAGGAGGAAAGATACTTGGGTTCTTCTACTAAATAAACCAGAATCACGGATACATTTTATCCGAGGACTGGTTTTCCATCCTCTGGACTTTTCTGCTTGCTCTTTCCGCGGGCGCTTGGGCCGGCGCGCTTTCTGTTTCGGTGCTGCTGTTTGAATATAAATGTGCGTTTGTGGGGAGATGTGTGCTTGCTGAGTTTATTTGCTTAATATGTTTTCTTTGTTCTGGTGCTCCTCGGGCGTGCTTGAGGACTCGTCTTTGTCTGTGCTGTTGTCGACGTGCTCGCTTTCGGGCGGAGTGCACAAAATGGTGGTTCTTTTGAGCGCCTCGAGAATCGTGCTTATCACAGCTGCCTGGCTGTCCGCAGGCCCTTCCGCGGTGCTTGCGCTTTTCTCGCCTGGAGCGCTGGCTGGAGCCTGCTTCTCAACCTCCGAGAGAAAGGCTGCTTTGCCCATTCCTGTGGCTGCAGACACGTACAGAAGGTGGAATGTGCTGTAGAACTCCTCCATCCACAAGGCAATCGAGTGCATTATGGGCGTGGTGTTTGAGTTTTCAGGGAGCGCGTGCGAGAAAGCCTCAAAGCCGCTAGCCCACTCCCTCACCTTTTCGCTTCCGCATATGTCGGACTTGTTCACCGTCAAGAGAACCTGCTCCTGGAAGCGGTAGCGGATGGAGGTGGCAAAAAGCATGTTGCTGATGAAGCACTGCGGGTTCTGGGCGCGCTCTCCGTCCATGGCATACACCATTTTCACCCGGATGCCGGGGGTTCTGGAGAGGCACTGCACGAGTATTTGCCCGGACACCGAGGTGGTGAACATTTCTATCTGGCCGGGCGTGTCGATGACTGTGTATCTTGGCTTGAGCTCCACAAGCTGCGAGATGAAAACGTCTATCTGCGTGATAAACAGATTTATAGAGGCAACTATCGCGCCGTTTGGGCCCAGCTTTTTCTGCTGCATCAGCTCCTGTATGTTTATGGTCTCCCGGATGTCGTAGTGCAGAGGCATTTTGACAGAAAGCGCCGCCGGGTCCAGATTCACCCCGCAAACCAAGTCGTTTAGCCCGGTGCGGCTGTCTATTTGCATGTTCTTTTCAGAGAGCCAGGAATACAGTCTGTGGCAGAAGCTGCTTTTTCCGCTTCCTGCCATTCCCAGCACAATTAATACTGTGTTCTCCATAGCTAAAAATTTTATTCTGGATATGTATCCACTTGAGTTTATTAGAGGGCTGCTGGGAGCAAAAATATGCGTTATGCTGAGAGACGGAACAGAGTACAAGGGCGTGCTTCGGATGTTTGACGAGCACATAAACCTGATCATGTCAAATGTGGCAGACGCCGTGGACAAAAGAGTTCTTTTTCTGAGAAGCGAAAACGTGCTGACAATATCTGAGGGGTAGGCCGTGTCTGCGCACGCAGGGCAGAATAGAGGCGGCGCCGCGGCGCGTGTAATAAAAAGATAAAGTGTCTTGAGTGCTGTTTATTTCCTATGCGTGTCCCATTCTTGCATAGCAGTATCGGCCTTATGCTCAGACGGCGCCTGGGCGTTATAATATGTGATAGTGTGTAACATTCGGCTCCAGCAAGAAACATTCGCAGGTAAACGGCAGTCTTTGTGTGGCGCAAACAAGCTTAGGCGCTGCCTAGCACCCCAGCATCTGCATCAATATTGATCAAACAGGTGGTTTGTAACCGGCGGATCGTTTGATGTGTTCAAAATGTGCGCGCGAATCGAGCAGTTTGACTCGTCCTTCACGTAGTCGTTCAAGTTTGGCGGCGGAACAATGGGCGGCTCATAGCTTCGCCCTCGCACAAGGTCCCAGTTGATTTCCCGGAAGAACGGGTGCTTGCATATCATCTTCACCCCTCGCCTATACCCAAGCCGTTTTCTCTTATCCACCTGCAGCAGCTGCCTTATAAGGTCTTTGGAAACGGGGTCCACATAGGTTGGGAACACAATTTCGCCATGCATGATCAGCCGGCACAGCTCGACCTGGCTCTCGTGGTAGAAGGGAGGCGACCCCACCACCATTTCGTAGAGAATCACGCCAAGGGACCAAAAGTCGACCTCGAAGCCGTGCCCTGTGTTCATCACGATTTCCGGAGCCAAATACTCAGGGGTCCCGCACAGCGTCCATGTGGTGCTTTGGTACATCCTCTTAGAAAACCCAAAGTCGGCCAGCTTCACGTGCCCGTGCTCGTCCAGAAGAACGTTCTCCGGCTTTAGGTCCCTGTAGACTATTCCCGCCCCGTGCAGCGAGTCCAGCGCCATGAGTATTTCTGAAATGTAGAAGCGCGCATGCTTTACGCTGAATTTTACAATTTCCTTCATGTAAGAAAAAAGCTCGCCACCAGGAACATACTCCATGACCATGAACAGATGCCTCTCGTCTTGGAACGTGCTGTACAGCCGCACGAAGAAGGGCGAGTACAGAGTAAGCATCACAGTCTTCTCATTGTAGACGTGCATCAGCTGGTTGCTGTGCATAACTTGGGCTTTGCTCATTACTTTTAGCGCATACAGCTTTTTCATCTTGACATTTGTTAGCCCCTCAAAGGAGACTAGGAAAACCCTCCCAAACGAGCCTTCCCCAAGAACTCTCACCATTTTCAAATCTCTTAGCAAAAACATCTTCCGAAGAATCCTAAAAATTTCTTTTCTAAAGTACAAAGTTTCTTTAATCATATTTATAGTATGGCCGTGACTTTCTTGGCGGGTGCCAAATGAAAAAAGCCCGAGACCGGTGGGCTGGCATGCGCTCTCTGGCATGGGGCTGGAGCACTGCGCTGCTTCTTTCTGTGCGAAAGGCGCTCCAAGCAGAGCCTTTTTCTACGGAGCTTCCCACGCTGTGCTGCACACGGCCCTGTCCTTGCCATGCAGAGGGCCTGCGCCAAGCGGGCCTTCTCCCGCCATTTTCCCTAGAAAAGCTATCTCTGCACTGCTTCCCAAAGCAGGCAGCAAAGGCTCTTCTTCTCAGGCCAGTTTTGGCAGAGTCTGCTCTGTGCACAGGCAAGGCCTCTGCAGCGCGCCCGGCCCAGAGCATTTTTCCTTCACCGTGGATTTTCAAAAGAAAAAGTACATAGCACGGGTGCAGTGCAGAGGCCGTTTTCAAGCGCACACGCATCTAGCAGAGCGCTAGAGCACATTCCCTGGGATATTCGGGCTTTATGGAGGCGCAAAAAGAGCTCTGGTTGCAGCAGGAGGCGCGGACAGCCACCGCCTATTGCTCAGCTTTCCGACGGGAGCTGCTGCCCGGCTGCAGACGGTCTCGGTGCTTGGGAGGCAAGAGGTAGATCAAGAAGTTTGCAGCAATAAAATTTTAATGCGTGCTCTCAGCGACAATGGCGATAGCATGGCCGAGACAAATGAAACCACAAAAAAAATGCTAATTGAAAAGAAGCGAAGCACCGTCATGAGCTGCGTTTTGCATATTCAGAAGCAGCCGTGGGAAGACGGGGCGTTCCACAAGGCAGTTTCAGAGTGGCTCCAGCTGGCAGACTCTATCGACAAGAACTGTGCCAGCAGTGCGTCGATTGAGGCGCTTGCCTTCTGGGACTACACCACGGGTGTGCTGGAGTCTCTTTCGCACTACACGCCGGAAGAGCTGGCTGCCTCCAAGGAGAACATAGACGCAATAGTTTCGGCGATGAACGCGCTGCCAAAAAGCGATGCTGGGGTCTTTTTTTTGACCCGAATCCTTCTTCTCAACTCGCAGGACGGGTCTATATTCAAAAACCGGCTGTCTTGCCTTGTCCTGCAGCTGGAAGAGATGTACAACAGCCTTTCCATTATATAGCCCAAGCGGGCCGCTGTGGGCTCGGGCCCAGGGAGGCAAGCCTTAGAGACGCTGTTGTTACTTAGCCATTAAATAAATTGCATCTGAAAAAATTTATTTATCATGATGGATCTCGAACACATGGCCAACATCTGGTCAGATGATCTTAAAGGCCCCATGGAGCCCCACAGAGCCGCTGCTGCGGAAACTTTGCGCCAGATCCTGGAGATGGAAAATATTTCCAAAAGGGACCAGGCGCAGCTGGTAGTTGGAAGTGTTGCAAGCTGCATTTTGCTGGCCAACCATGTGCACGTCGAAGGTGTTGTGGACCGGGTTGAAAGGCACGACCTAAAGAGCATGGCGTGCAATGTCAAGTACATTCAGTTTGAGAAAAAGGGCATTGAAGCGCTTGCCGACCTGCTTGCGCAGCCTGGGCCGCTGTGCGCGCACGCTGTTTTTGACCAGGCTGTGCAGTGCCTGGACAGCGAGCTCAAGACTAGGTGCCGGCTGTTCATGGACGTGGCCAATTTCAGGGGCTGGATAGCCAACCCCAAGTTCGACTATGTCCGGGTTCTTGAGTACTACCTGGGGTGCGGAGAGTACGTGCACAGCATAAAGCCCAAGCTGCAGTATTTTTCCTGGCTTTTGCTCAAAAAAGCGGAAAGCGCCCCAACAGAGGCTCTGAACCACCTGCAGGCGTACTCGAGGGAGGACACGGTGCAGTTTGTGGAAAACTCAAACCTTCACCGGGATTTTCTTCTGTGTGCCAGCGTGATTAACGATCCAGCGGTTTCTACAGATCGCCCGGAGTTTCTAGGCGTGTTTGCGTATGTTCTTAGCTTCCTGGAGCACTGGAAGAGCATAAAAAACAGAAAGCTTGCCGGCGAGAGGAAAAGCTATGCCGAGGTGCTGGACCTGTTTGAAAAGGCATTCAACTGGGCCACAGACCCGCAGGAGATTGCTGCCCTTAGAAAGCGCATAGACGAAAAAGTGTCGGAAGAGACAAGCACACTGTATGAAAAAAGAAGAAGCGCGGAGCAAAGCGACAGCGCAGACAAACAGCCTGGGCAGGACCCGCTGGACCTGCTTGTGAAAAAAGGCGGAGCCGAAAACAAGCGCGCATGCGAGCTCACAATTTCGGACTTCAAAGGGATTGCATTCCTTCTAAGCACTGTCTCGTTTCTGGTGTTTTCGCTGTGCTCTATGGCTTCCAACCATTTCTGCGGCGGAGGAGACGAGTACTTCCTGAAGAGCAGCGTGCCCCACATGGTTTTGTCTGCGCTCATGAGCATGAAAGGCGTCTCCCAGATGTACAGCGGGCACGTTTCGTTCAACAAAAAAAGAAGCAGCGTGTCTATCCTGTACCTAGAAGACTTTTTATATCTGGTGGTGGGCTTTTCGCTGGTTTCGCTGCTCTTGCACTTTACTTGCACGCCAGGCCTGCAAAAGTACTACATCTATGTGATTCAGCTGATTCTGCTTGTTCTCAGCCTTGTAACAAATATGGCTGACCTTGTGAAGCAGGCCTACAATCTTTTTATGAAGAAAATAGACCCTCTAAAAGGCACCGAGCTGTTTATTCTGTCCTTGCTTGAAGTGGCCTATTTGGCATTTGTGTATTTCTGCCAACTGCCTTCCCCCCAGATATGCGACAACCCGCTCCTCAACCGGATATCCGGGTTCTAAAAAGGCGCGCCCTGCCTAAGCCCAAGCCATGCCTGGGCCTGCATGCACAAAGAGCTTTATAGAAATTTTTGCTTAGCAGCGCACAAGCGTGGCATACTCGCAAAATGCACTGCTTGAACAACTCTGGGTTGGCAAGTTATATAAAAATAAATTGTCCATGAGAAACTCCACACTATGTAAATCTGGCCAAGGCTTTTTTCTCTGTGCCCCTGCACTGGCCAATGGCAACATGCTTTGCTGGCAAGGCCAGGATTACGCCTTGAAGCAGCTCTGCGAGCCAGCGCGCAACAACAAAAGCAGGCAGCGATTTTCTAAGCCTTCCTTCAATGGAAAATAGTTTAGTGCGCGCAGAGAAAAGCTCTGGGCCGGCCTTCCGCGCGAAGGCAGCGCGCGCAGGTCGCTAGAGCCTTCTTCTTTTCTGGCCGGCGGGAAGCCGTCTGGCAGCTGGCGCCACCGCCCGGCGCACAAACACGCATGAATCGAACTATATCTGCATTTTTCTTTATTTGCATGCCGGGCCAGAGCAAGGCGCAGGCAGCTCTGCAGGAACAGCCCAAGCGCGGGCGCGCCGCTATTCAGACTCGGTGAGAAATGTGCCAGAAAGCCACTTGCTGAGAGACTTTCTTTCAGCAGGGGACTTCGGCGTTTTTTGCTCCGCGTCTGTGGCTGGGCCTTTTTCTTGGGCTGTGCAAGAGCCAGTCTTCTCGTGCAGGTCCTTCTTTTTTGGCATAAGCTTCACGACCTGGTCCACAAGCTCGGGAACCATGTCTTTTCCGATGAAGAAGGAGCTTTTTGTTCTGGGGCGCACAGAGGCCTGGGCGTGCAGCTGCTTTGCATTGGCTGGCCGGCTCTGGGGCGAGCTGCCCTTTTCCTGCTGCGCCTCCTCCGGCCGCTTCCCCAAAATGCCGTCTATGGCTGCAGACTCTTCGGCGGCCTGCTTTTCCTGCTTTTTCAAAATGCGTGCGTGTCTTTTTGCATACCTGCCTGTGCACGCGTCTGTTTTTTTCTTGCTGCTCTGCTCTGCTGCATGGGGCTGCGTGTCTTTGCTGGAGGAGAAGGGGGGCTTGGGCAGGGCGTCTTCTGAAAACATCCTCTCTAGAGCAGGGCGGATGTGCGGGTTTTTTTCCTTCAAGTACTCCGTCACCTTTTTGCGGGCGCCCTGTATGTCTTCTTTGGTGCTCGCAGAGACCGCACACTCCTGCTGCATCTCCAGGTCAGAAATGGAAGAAGACGTGTTTTCAGGCGACAGGCTTCTGTGCAAAGCCTCTTGGACGTCTGTTTTGTGGAGGAGCGCTCTCCGGGCCTTCTCGAGCTTCAAAGACGTGTAGGAGACGGAGACGGAGACCTTTCCGTCGATTGAGCGCACTTCTATGCACTGCACGGCCGAGCGCGCTTTTCTGGAAAAGGCGTACTGCGCGGAGTTAATGTGCCAGAGCGTGGTTGTGTTTCCAACCATGTCCCGGGAGCGGGTTTTCAGAAAGGCCGAAGAGGACTCTAGAAGGGCCTGGTAGTGGCTCTGCCTGTGCGCAGAAACGCCCAGCTTTCTCTTAAAGTGCGAGTATATTTGAGAAAACCGCACGCCAGCGGGGCCCTCTCTTTGGGGCGTGTTGTTTTTGAGCAGGCCCTCTACGCTGTACACCCTTTGCGCCTGGCCTGCATTGTGCGTAGTTGTAAACACTCTGCTCCGCTGCTCTCTGCTGCTCTCGGCTTTGAGCCCTCGGCGAATGGCACGCGCAATCTCGTCTATTTCGTAAAAGGGCTCTTGCGGGGGAACGGCCAGCGTAAGGAAGTACTGAACGCCTGCCAGCGAAAGCATAAGATTGTCGGACGAGGAGACAGCTATGTTGTTGATGAGCCAGAGCTTCTCTTTTCTGGAGTACTCAGCCAACATGTCTGTGGTGGATGTGTCAGAGACCAGAGAAATGCGAATGAACGGAGAGTAGAGATGCTCAGTCCAAAAAGAGCAGGAGAAGCGACCAAACGAAGGTATGGAAATAGTGTGCATTTGTGAAGGAAAGGAAGAAAGAACACACAATATTATAAGTATCCGCTAAGTTCCATCAAAATGATTCAACATTATATTTGAGAATGCGCCCGTGAGGGGGGCCTTTCCAAGGTGGCAAAGCCTGTCTGAAAGTGCGCTCTGCTGCGCAGCCCGCGCTGTGATGTAAAGACAAAACCTAAACGGTGCCAAAGCCGACTTTATTTTCCAGCGTCTTCTGCGCAGACCCTATAAATATCGCTGCTTTATGTAGTCTGCCACGTTTGGCTTTTCGTATATTACTATGCTTGCGTTGAGCATTCGGAGCACAGACTCTGGGTATATGCGGTGGTTTTTTGTATACCCGCTGAAAATGTATGTGATGTTTGTATACTTGCTGGCTGCTGTTTTCAGGCTGTCGACGGTGCACACGCCGACTGTCCACAGGTCGTTTGTCAGCTTGCTGAAGGCCTGTATGCCATTGGACGTGGACATGCAGAGAGGGTCCTTTTCAAACGAGAAGTTATCTATCAGCGACATTTTCTGGTACTCCTGCACGTATTGGCTTTCCTCCTCCGCGCTGCCAACCACAATTATTATTCTGTCTTTTTTTCTGCTTCTGGCCTCTTTAATTTTTTCGTAAACCAGCAGCTTGGTCATCTCTTTCGCCTCCCTGTGCGCTGCGTTTGGTATCTCTTCTATTGTTATTCGCTCGGGCCGCCTAAACTGGATCTTCCGCGTTATGCACTCCGCCATGTCGGCGTCTTCGTCTTCTGCAGGGCCTGCATACTCTATTTTGTACCCTGCTATTTTTTCCAGCGAGCTGTCCACAATCCAAAGCTCGTGGTCCGAGTATGCCCGCACAGGGATCACCTCGGTGCGCCCGGAGAAAATGTCTTTGCTGGAAAGAGGGGTTACTTTGGCCACCTGGTCCAGGCTGTGCGTCATGTAGCAGTCTCTTTCTTTGTCAACCTTGATTATTTTTATAAGCGCTTTCTTTTGCCGTACGAGTATGTATCCAGTGAACGGCCTCTCAAACAAGAGCGAGTGCTTGTTGGCCACCAGGTCCATCTCAATAAGCTCTGTCTTTGCCCTCTTCATCACCTTTTTCCGCAAACAAAGAGACTGGTACGCCTTTTCGTACGCCTTTTTGCAGAGGAAGTACTCTGCCAGGCCATTTGTTAGCCGGTCGATGTTCTCCAGAATGTACCGCTGGTCTATTGCCAGCGAATGGCCTTTTATTTTCCGGCCTTGCACGTGCTTTTCAATCAAAAGCTGCACTTTTTTTTCAACGGTGAGCTCCTCCTGGTCGGAGTATATGCCCAGCGCTTTTCGGTCCTCGCTGCGGACCATAATGTTTCGGTACTCGTCGGTGGCTGTCAAGTAGGTGATGGTGCAGGCCTTTTCGCCCTGGTTGTTCCACTCGACAAGCGTGGACTCTGTCAGAAAGTAGTGGCTGATGACTCTCCCCAGGTCTGTCATTATGCAGGCGCCGCCAGCGCTTTCCTGTCGGATCAGGCTCAGCTCTTTGAGCCGCTCAAAAGACAGAAGCACATAGTCGGATATAACCCCGTTCAGCTGGTGCGGCAGGATTCCATACTTGACCGGAGACCGGCACATTCGAATGTACAGAAACGTGGTTTTGAACCAGCGGACTGCATCCGCCTGGCTTTTTATGTTTCTCAGGTATATCTCTGCGGACAGCTTTTCTGGGAGGGTCTTTAAAAGGCCGCTTTCAATCGGGTCTTCCACCCGCAGCATTTTCACATACTTTGGCAGAGCAACGTGGTCTGTTATCAAAATGCCCTCTGCCTGCGTGTCGTACTGCGGCCTTCCTGCTCTACCAAACATCTGCTGTATGTTTAGAATGTCCACGTCCACTGTGCCGCCCTTTTCCGCGGAGTACATCTCGGTGCCAAAAACCACCACGGTCCGGGCAGGAAGATTTACTCCCCAGGCGAGTGTGGACGTGCTCACCAGCACCTTTATCTTTTTTTCTCGAAAGCCGCGCTCTGCGAATGCGCGAATGCTCCTGGGCAGGCCTGCGTTGTGTATAAACATCCCTCTCGAGTACAGCTCCTTCATTTCCCCCGACACACCTGCATCTTCTGCCTCTTTCACCCGCTCCTCGTCGGGCTCAATGTCCTCGGTGAGGAGGGTTGCTATGGAAAGCGTGCTTCCTCGGGTGTGCACAAACACTATCACCTGGTGCCCCTCGCACAGAACCCTTTCCACCCGCTCCTTCAGGACATAGACCATCTTCTCCTTCTTGTCCATTCTCCGGACGAAGTTGTTTGCGCTTACGTCCACGACCTTCCGCGTGCCTATTACGGAGTAGGTGATTGGAACAGGCCTGTCCCCGGGCCCAAATACGTGCATGTGCCTGGGGCTGACCCCCAAAAAGCCTGCCACGTCTGCAGGGTTTGGGAGCGTTGCAGATATCCCCACCATGCGAACAGGGCGCTGCGTTCTTTCCGACGACATTTTGAGCCGGCTGACAATAGCCTCGATTGTCGGGCCCCGGGTGTCGTTGAGTATATGTATTTCGTCAAAAATAATAAGGGAGGTGTTCTTCAGAAGATACGATGAGATTTTGCGTATAGACACGTCGTACTTTTCCGGAGTGCACACCAGCACTGTGCTTTTTGTGAGCTCTTCTCGAGTCAGCTCCATGTCTCCCGTGTACTCGCTCACCAAGCAAGGCAGCCTGTGCCGGAGCTTTTCTGTTATCTCCGAGGCCAGCGCCTTCATGGGCGCAATGTATATTATTTTGTTGTCGGTGCAATTCGGCTTTCTCTCAAGCTGCCTCACTATAGACAAAAGCGCCACGTCCGTCTTACCTGCGCCCGTCGGGGCACACACAAGCACGTTCTCTGCGCTGCCGTATACGCTGCCAAAAACCAGAGACTGCACGTGGTTGAAGTGCGTGTAGTGCGCGCTGAAAATGCGCCTGTGCCTGGGGGAAATCGCGTCCACAGACACCTTTTCTGCGTGCGCTGTGGGCGCAGGCGACTCCAAAATGTACTCGTCGTAGTACTCCGTTGTGTTCCGCTTGAGCTTGGGCGCCAGAATTCTGTCCAGCTTCTCTTCCACGTTGAACACCTGGTATCCTATGCGGGGGGGCCTCTCCTGTTTCCCCTGCTTTTCGTGCAGGGCAAGGAGCTCTATGATATCGTCTATTGAGTCTTCCCCCAGCAAGTCCAATAGGTCTTCTTGCGGATTGGATGATTTCAGAGCCTGTTTGATCAGTGTTTCAGACTCTTTATTGGTCATTCCCAACCGCTTGCTGAGCGTGGCTGTAATATTTTGCATGGTGATGTAAAAACATAAAAATGCATTTTTATGGTTGGCCAGCTGCGCAGGGAGGCCCATCCCATCAACGCCCAGCGCCCACTGATTGCGTGTGTGCAATCAGAAAATAAGTATAAATAGGCAGCAAGAGTTCTAAAGTATAATGAGAATCTCAAGAACTTTATTATTCATAGCAGCATTTGTAGCAATACTTTCAATCGTCAGAGCCGCCTCCAACCCAAACCCAAACGCCGCCGTTAAAAAGGCCGGAAAATCCGCTGGAAAACAGGGCATGGACTGCAAAGACGGTGATTGCGAATGCGCCGACGGAAAGTGCGATGGAGAAAACTGCAAGTGCGAGAACTGCCCAGCCAAGAAGGACGGCGCAAAGAGCCACAGCCACAACGGGGCGCCATGCACCGACCCTAACTGCAAAGGAGAAAACTGCACTGACCCCAACTGCAAGTGCGAGAACTGCCCAGCCAAGAAGGACGGCGCAAAGGGCCACAGCCACAACGGGGTGCCATGCACCGACCCTAACTGTAAAGGAGAAAACTGCACCGATCCCAACTGCAAGAGCGAGAGCTGCCAGGCATCCAAGTAAGCCCATGCTTTGCACTGAAAGCAGGAGGGCTGCACAGCACAGATTTGTACTTTAAATAAAGACAAAGTTGAAAAATTGTTTTTTTATATAGCCCATTGAAGGGATTTTTTAGGCAGTTATTCCTCAACGGAGTGCGCTGTGCTTTCTGCCTGGATCCGCTCTGCGTTTTGCAGGGCCCACCGCAGAATGCGTCTTCACGGTTTCACGCTGCTTCTGTGCATATTCTAGGGCGTGCTTTTTAGAAGGTGGCAAGCCTCGCATGCAAACTTCGCTGGATGCACTCTGAAGCACATTTGTGCTAGAAAGATGTGCGAAACGTGGACAAAGCGCCATAAGTAGCTTTGCCCGGCGTGCCCATTTTGCAAAAAGTGCCAGGTATAGCCTGGACATGCCTAGTTGTTCTGTAAAGTGGGCTTATACTGCAAATAAATAAAAACACATACAGAAAAAATTAATGATAAGTTCTGTAGAAGCAAGAGAAGCTGTGAGTGTGGCTTGGAAGCCTTGCCGGATGGCCCGGATGCTTTGTTCGTTGCCTTTTGCTTGCAAAACCGGAAGCAGCGCCTTTGTCTTGATTCTTTTCCAGTTCGTGTGTGTTTCAAGAGCACTGCAAAGCGAAGCAATGCTGGCTCGCCACGAAAGCACAGAGCACGGCATTTTTACGCTCAGAACGAACATAGGCCGCCAGGCAAGCATTATTCCGGAGCTTCTATACGGCGAAACGCCCTTCACGCAGAGGGCTCGGCTGTTTTTCCCCAAAATAACAATAAAAATCTCTGCACAGACACACAGCCCAAGCTCGCGCAAGGAAAGCTCTGAGACAGGCTTGCCCAGCAGTGAGAAAGTTGTGCGCCAGGACAGAAACGCAGTGCCTGAAGAGTACAGGCGCGAGTATCATAGGGTTCTGGTGAAGTTGTTTCCTTCTGCAAACAAGACACTGTCGATTGAGAGCGGCCGCACGGACTCTTTCACAAATTTTCTGCTCGCAGACTCTGTTAGGGAGCACGCGCACTACATCATTGCCACGCTTTTTCTGCTGAGCGAGGGCGTGCCTGTGCCCATTCAGTGCACCGCTGATGAAATTTTTCTGCCGAAAAAAAGCAGCAGCGGCGAGTTTTTTCGGGTCTGCACGCGAACGTGGGTGTACAGCGAAAGAAAAAAGAGGCTCATCAAGGTTCAGCAGAAAGAAGCCGCAGAAATTATACAGTTTTTCCAGACGTATGGGTGCGAGGAGGAGCTGCCCAAAACCAAAGAGAGCTTTGAGACGGGCTCTTTTATGGACAGCCCGCAGTTCCTTGTGCAGTCGTACATGTTTGAGCTCTGGAAGGCGCCTGAGGACCTAATAAAGTCCAACACCTGTGTCTACAACATCCTAATGGACTTGTCTCAGGCAGAAAAGAGGCAGCGCACATTCGACGAGCCCACTCTTTTGGACCGCGTGTTCAAAAAGTGCTTTATTACTGTAAGCGAAAAAAAGAAGCAGCAGCCCAGCTCGGAAGACGCCGCGTCTTCTAGCAGAAACCAGAGCCTGGGCGAGCAGGCGCCTGCCGAGGATGAGAGTGACCACTTCATTGACTATCTGATAGAGCACCGCAATAGTTTACAGGAGCCCACGCCAGAAGAAACATTGGACGCGCCCATGATTAGGCAAAAGGTTTCCAAGGCTGTCCGAGACATGCTTACAAATGACCCGAAAAACATAAACAGCTTTCTAATGATCAAAGACATACACAGCGACTTCAACTACAAAAAAATGCTTGTTGCGTATCTAGCCATCCACGCATACGAGAAAAACATGCAGCTGCACCCAGCGCATCCAACCGTGTTGTTTATTTCAAGCATGCTAGACAGCGTTTCTCTGGACGTGCCCAAAACCCGAAACCAAATCATGCATGCTCTTATCATAATGCACGACGTTGAGGTTCTGTACTCAGGCATTCATATAGGGAGCTATGCCCGCGCAGAAATGTTAAACGACCGTGCTGCGCGAATGCAGACATACTACTACATGCTGGACTCGGGCTGCCCGGCAGCCTTTGTGAAATACATGCACGAGTACTGCGCGCTGTGCCTGTCCGAAGGAAAAGACGTGTTTCTTGACAGCGCCCCGCAGTTCAGTGAGCGCACACTGCCCATGGTTTTCCAGCTTCTTTTCCAGAGCCGCAGCGTGGAGCATGCCAAAGCCCTGGCTAAGGTGCTGCAAAAGGGTGGAGAAGGCGGGAGGCGCCTGGAAAAATCTCTAGGCCTAGCATGGTTTGCCTTTGCGTGCAGTGATTCTTCGGTTCCGGCGCAGCTTCTTGTAGACATATACCGCAGCGTAGTTTTTTCTGGGCAGGAAAAGTGCACGCTCTGCTGCTCTTTGTGCGCACCATACGCTTCTGCCGCTTTGGAAAGAATGGAGGAGCAGAAGGCCAGCCTCTGCCCAGGCCGCGCCGAAAACGCGCAGGGTTTGCAGGGCGAAAAATATGCCCGCATAAAGGCCTTTTTTTCGGCCGTTCTGCCAGAGCCCGCCCAATAGACAGCAGGGAATAGCCCGTGCCTTTCAGACAGGCGCGCGGGGCGCTCTAGCCTTCTGTTGCGCTTTGATTCTCCAAAAGTGCGCGCGAGCGCGCGTGTTGGGTCTCTACTGCAGAAAATACTAAATAAAAGACTCTTCAAATATAAAGCTCTGGAAGCTTTGTAAAGGTGTGCCGTATGCTTTCTGTGCATGGCAGAGCGGCCAAGAAGCGCACCATTAAAAAACTCGTTTTTTCGGAGGAGGCGGGTTTGGCGCCAAGGCGCAGGCCTGCATCTTAAGAAAACCGATTTTTATTTTCACCATGAGAATACAGAGCTTTTTTTGCGGACTTGCGCTGCCTTTTGCCTATGCAAGGCTTTCGCTGCTGCAAATCGAAAAAACACAAAGTGCCACTGTGCTGGCAGAAAACTGTGCCTTGCTGAAAATAAATCCAGAGGGCCCGCTTAACCTGATGCGCGGATACCTCTATCAGCGGATGGGGCTTGTGCAAAACAAAAGGATGTTTTCGCCCGAAATAGACACTGCGTACAGCTTGAGGCACAGCAGCCTGGGCGAGCAGGCGAAAGAGCCGTATGTTTACTCAAGAAGCGCTGTGGCGGACCGCGCCCGTCTGCTGGGCGCAGAAGGCGGCGGCCCAGAGGCTGCGCGAGAAAACGAACAGTACTTTATGGAGTACCACCGGATGCTTATTCTTATGTTTCCCTCTGCCTCTGGAGAGCTTTCCATTGAGGCTGGGCGGCCGAATGCATTTACCCGGTTTCTGCGCGCTCCGGCGGTGGAGAAGCACGCGCACCAGGTCCTTGCAGCGCTTCTTCTTTTGAGCGAGGGCATAGACGTGCCCGTCTGCATCTCCGGAAAAAACTTGGTGCTGAAAAAAAAGGGGGGAAAGGCCATCTTTTGCCTAAGCATGCTGACCCCAGCCCAAAGCTCAAAGCCTGGAAAAGCCCTCCTTGTGTGGCAGAAGGAAGCTGCAGAGGTCATAATGTTTTTTCTAAAGCACAAAAATGTGGTAAAAACCCCGCACACGATGGAGAGCTTTCTTTCAGGAGAGTTTTTGGACAGCGCGCAGTTTTTGATACAGGCATACATTTTTGAGTTTTTAGACAGCGTTGAGAGCGCGAAAAAGCTGTTTGCGTCTGTGTATGAAATACTGGGCGCGGCAGTGGGCTTTCCTGAGGCCCACGCAGAAAAAGCAGAGAGCGCGCTTTTTGTGCCTGCCCAGCAGTGTTTTGAGGCAATGCAGCTCTCGCCCTGGCTAAAAAGAGTGCAGATTGTTGTAGAAAAGTATGGATGCTTTCCGTTTGCAAGCTCCTGCCACCTGCCGGGGTATGTACAAATTCCGCCGTGCATACGCGTCCAATCGCACGAAAATGCAGCTTGCGAGCTCTACGAGGACACGACCAAAACCTTCAGCAACTGCGTGGAGGTTGGGCTCTATGCGCTGTTCTGCTGCCTTACATACAACCCCGACCCGCACGAGTACACTCTGGCCAAGCTTCCCGGTGCCACGGATGGCCTTAAAGCTTTTTTCACAAAGCACGCCGCGCCCGTGGAGTGTGTCAGCTTGGAGCTGCACCGAGCATGGAACCAGGTGGTTTCCAACCTTTCGTGCGGCCGGGTTGCATACAAAAGACAAGACCGAAACGAGCTCCGGACAGGGCTGCTAAACATTCTGCTGGCGCTGGCGGAGATAACCGGCAGGCTTGGTGCGGAGGAGGAAACAATTGCTGCGTTTATGGAGGAGGTCAGCGGCCCGGGGGAACCTAGTAAAGCGTTTTACGCAAGGGTGGGCGCGTATGCGGCCAATTTTCTGCTGTCTCTTTCCGCATCCGAGGAAATGGACATATGGCTTAGAGACGGGAGAAGAGGCGTGCGAAGCGACGGAAAGCACGATGTTTATGGGGATATTGTGCTTAAAACAACGCAAAACGGAAACGCCCAGGGGATAGTTTTTGAGCTGAAAGAGGGGCACACCAGCATAAAAATGCTGGCAAAAAGCGCGTCTATCTCCTTCGAAGGCGTGCAGGAGCTCGAGCATATAAAAGACAAATGCGCGCGCACTCCGGGCTTTACCCGATGCCTGCTTGCACACTACATAGCGCAGTGTCTGGATATGGCCAGAAGTCAAGAAGAGCTTTGCATAAACGGCATAAAACGCGCAGCCCAAAACATGGCAACGAACAGCTTCTCCAGCATACGGGAGGTTATGCTGCTAAGAAAAATCCAGCACGTAGACCAAAAAAGAGCAGTTGTTGAGCTGCTTCTTATGCAGGCAACTGCCGAGGGGATAGAGCTGGCCAAAGGGCATCCGATTCTATGCTTTGTTTCCAACATAATAGGAAGCACTCCCCTGGCGGACACAAGAACGCAGTACAGCATTCTAAGAATTCCGGCATGCACAGGCGTGCTGAAAAAACATCTTCCCCGGATAAGTCTGCAAAGGCAAAGATACATTGAGATTTTTAAGACTTCGCGCTCGCTTCAGGACATGGAGTATCTCGAAAAGTCGAAGTACGCGCTTTTTACTATAGAAACCCTCCGCGCATACCCTCGCGAGACAGATGAGGTGCTCTCTTGCAGCAAAGATCTCAACATTGGATACCGAGTGGAGAACTTGTTCAACGTTCTGTTTGCATGCAACAGCATGGTGTATGCTAGAAAGCTGGCGCAGCTTCTGCAGGAAGAGAACAGCGCGCAGGCAAGCCTGCTAAAGCACACGCTAGACCTTGTCTGGTTCGGCTTGGCGTGTGTGAGAAAAAAAGAATACGCAGACCTAATCAAGGAGCTGTATGACGAACTTTCACCAAACTGTATGTACGACCGGGCGCATGACGCCATTAAGTACTTTAGCAAGCCAGAGGAAGTGTGTGCGGTCGTGGAAGGAATGAAAAAAAGTATGCATCTTGACCAGAGCAGTGACAAGCTTAGAATGGTTTTTAGTGTATTTAAACCCCCCTGCAATGTTCGGTTTGTCTGGGGTATCGACTAGAATAAAATACATGCCTATGCGCATATTTTCTCGTTTTTTTCGGAAATAAAAACAGAAGCTGCCGGGTACGTTTGGGCTACAGCAAGGCTGGGCGTAGATTTGAGCTTGCAGGAAAAAATGAAGTACTCCTCGTGGCCAGAATCTGAATCGGCATCATGTGCACGAATCAGAGCAATGTTTTTCAAATCAAATTGATATGGATGGCCATTTAAAGACAATTTTTGAAAATGCATGTAAATGAAAATGCGCATAGTTGTAAAAAAAAGCTTAGCAGTGCATGGAGCCATGCTTCTACTCGGCCTTTCTCGGGAGGTCTGTGGATCCCATCTAAACGCACCAGTTTTGAAAGAGCTATTGGATGTGTCTCCAGATGGAGGCTTTCCTACGGGCCCGAGTGGCGATTCCATGGGGGATGGAGCTTTTGTGGCAGCCCATAAACGCAATCCTGCGCTTCCAAGCAGCAGCGGGACGCCCGAAAACAGAAACGCATTGTATATGGAGGGAGGCGGCATAAATCAGCCTTCTACCTCGAAAAATGCAGTTGTACACGATCAAGAAGCGCAGCGGCTGGGCCTGCTTGCGAACACCTTTTTATACACGTGCCCACCGGCAACAAGTGACAGCGTCTCCAGGAAGCGCAGCGCCTCCGGAAATGTCGTTGGCAGAAATCCTTTGCCACAAAACAGTGCCCCAAGCCACCCACCCGAAAGAAAAGACCCCGCGCACATGCCTGCAAGCCATGCATGCGTGCCTCCGTACACAAGTGCAGACTATCAAAAACCCAATGCTTTGTATGGAAACATGCACAGCACCGCCAATAATGCAGGGACAAGCCAGCAGCGGTTGGTCGCGAACATGGAACACGCCAGAACATACACAGTGGCGGGGGCCAGTGGGCATCAGAATAAATACGCTCCTGCGCACGCCTCGGCGCCTGCGAACAATATAGTTCCTTTCAGAGATGCCTGTTTTAGGCACATTTGCACTATGTCAAAGTCCGGCGCCTATATGGAGATTCATCCAAGCGCATATCTCTCAGACCAAAGTCTTGCTCGGCAAGGCCATCCCGCAAGCATGGAAATCAGCAAGGTTTTTACATGCTGCTTAGAGCCTTCTACTATAAGCCAAGTCAGATTGAACGCCTTGAGATGTGTTGTGTCTTCCAAGCCCGGGTGCAGCATATGGTGCTTTTTTTTAAAGTATTTTTCTCTTGCGCAGTGCGGGTGCGCAGAAAGAGATGTCCAGATTATGGGCAAAAGAGACTTTTTTTTCTCGGGCCATATGAAAGGGCATCGGGGCTATTACCCGAATCTGCTGAATGACATACATGCATACATAGAAGAAAACTCGCCCGACGAGTATGTCAGCATTATGGACCCGAAGCGAGTAACACAGCGCGTCAAAAAAAATGCGCTGGGAAACTTATATGGGTATCCGCCCATAATGACCGAAAACACTTCCAGGGTTATTAATCGTATTGGGTGCAATTTGGCGCGCCTAAATGGCTTTATGTTTTGCATGCGCATACCCGAAGTTCTGGACGACTTCCTGCGCATGGACAGCGAAACTTTTGAGCTAAGCCTGCACTATATGTGCATCTGCTGCGCGGAAAGGTACAGAGAAAGCCCAAAACTCAAAAGGGCTGTTGAAATACTGAGAGCCTTATACAGCGCAGTCAGAAACTGGAAACTCGAGCCAGAAAAGGCTTTTCCGCATGTGGAGTCAGAAATCGAACCAAAGGAGTTGTGGGGAAGCGCAGAAGCTTCGAGCATCGAAGACATAGAACCTGCGTATCGGGAGGCATATAATGCAATTTCGCTCTTTTACAAATTCAGCCTGTGGACATACTATTCAGACGCCAGCAATGGCGCAATAAAAACCCAGCGCAGGTTTCTGGGGAAGCGTGCAGTGTCCCGCGCGCCCTACTTGAAAAGCAAAATTGTTATTTTAGACGAGGGGAAGCGCCATTTTCATGTTGTGCAAGAGGAGAGCAAGATTGTGTACAACCGCTGGGAAGCATGCACTCCCGAACTCCACATTCATGTGCACTTTGTGGACAACTATGCCCAGAAATACAGGCTTGTGTGCATGCCGGGGCGCATTCTGCAGAACAAGTGGACGCCTCTGCACAGTATATCGAAGGTGTGTGAGTATCTGCATTTAATGCACAACACGCTGGCTGGAAATGTGTATCCGCTGAGCTACAACACAAGCACGAAAAAATGGGGCTTGGTGTCTGGCAGCGATCTGCAAATGACCGTCAACGACTTGGACGAGCAGGGGCGCGCTGTGGTTTTCTACTACCTTCGGGAGACCATTGACTCCGGCCAATTCACGTTTTCGGTGTTTGACAGCTCGGACGACGTGCAGGGCCGCATAAAAATCCCGCTGTTTCTGTCGCCCTTGATGCGATCTGCGCTGCTTCTGACGCCGTATGCCCACAAGGGGCTTGTGCCGCACCAAATAGTGCCATTACGCGACTTTGTAGATGGCAATGTTGAGCCGTCTGTGTACTTCTATCCTGGCGACCCACCAGAGGGCAATTGCGCTCAAACAGACGAGCAAGCATATACATACACGCATATTAGAGGCATGTACAACAATCTGTACATGTACAGTCCCGCAGCCTCGCCCCGCTGCTGGGAAATGTGTGTTAGCCAAACAGAAGACCCAACCACCCGCGCGATAACTGTGTGCTGGTATGCAATAGTGCGCGAAAACAAAGAAACATATTCGCAGTTTATTTTCCGACAGGCCGATGGCTCTACCCCGGCAGAACAGCACAAAAGCATAGCCGACCAAATTGAAAACATCAAAAGATACTATGCGCTTAAATGCGAAAACGTATGCATGTCTATCGTTTGCGTATCCAAAAACAAAGCCAAAGAAGGCGCTGGCGTACTTGCGGCAAGCGAGTGCCAGGATTGCCTGTATATCCCCGGCCAGTGCCTACTGCTTATTCGAGGCGTAAGGAAGTTCAATCATGAGCTCCGCATTCACAACCTGCTTCTTTCGCTATTTTTCAGAAAGCACAAGATTTAAGACCCGAGTAAGAACAGCCCCGGGAAACACTTCAGGAATAACGGAAGCCAGCAAACGGCGCCTTTTAACAGACCGGGCGTCTGGAAGCAACTGCAGGGACGGCCTGTGCTATTTTACGAAGGCGGAATGCAATTCAGATGCCCGCGCACAGCCTCTGCCTGCATTGCCCACGATTTCCTGGCGCCCGGGCATATAGCCCTGTGCTTTTGCTATGTAGGCAGGCGTGTTGGCCGCTGCCCGATATCTTTGCGTGCGCCAAAATAAAAAGCTTTCCCCAGCCGAGGGCCAAAGCCAGAAACATCTGCACAAATGGCAGCGGCCGTCTAGAAAATCAAGACAATAAATGAAAGATCCCATTTTCCACAAGCCCGTGCACTGCCTGCGGCACCCAGTAGCAATGGCGCTAGCAAAATCTATTGTTTTTAACGCGCATAGTGTGCCAAAAAGGCGGCTCTATGTGTCTATCCCATGCGCGCTGTTTGTGGCCAGCCTTTTTATCCAGTTGGCCGCCGTGTTTTCTCAAAAGCAGGCCATAACCCGAATGCCAAGATAAAATTTTATTGAATTTTCCCATGCAAAATTATTGGCAGCAGTGGCTTTAAAGGCCAGCTATGCAGTGCGAGCTGCAGCCAATAATAACCCACCATCTTTTTGATTTTTTCTCTATATATGCACTTATATGTATACTATCTTATGCAGAAACGCCGAGAAAAGAGAGACTGTGCGCTTGCCGCAGGCATTGCATGCCAAGAAAAAAGAAGCATTCGCAACCGCCGCCGCATTTTATTTTACACCGGGCTTGTGCTGATTTTGCTCGCGCTGGTAGGCTTTGTATTGTGCGTTAAACACAAAAAAGACGACCGTTCAGGGAAGGGCGCGGATGACGACAGTGCTTCCATAGACACGCCATGCTCGGGCCGGCCGGATGCATAGGCCTGGCCGCCGCTATCCGAGTTTTCGCCCCGATTGCACGGTGCTTTATTCAGATATATACGGACTTATGCATTTTAATAAAAGTAACTTGTCATTGTTGATTTGCGCGTGCTTGCCAACATGCCTCCGGCGAGACAATTGTAGAGTGTGAGGCGCTCCTGCGGCCTGCAAGACAAGCACGCTTCATGGCACGCTGCCAGCGCACTCAACCTACACAGGGGATGGGCCGGGGCGAGCGGCCTTCCACCCGGGAGCAGCTACAGCAGAATTCTCTGCAAGCCTGCACATGTGCGTTTCATTAAGCAAACCCCTGGCACCATGCCGCGCTGTGGGGCTCTGTCCACCCATAAAGATGTCTTGCTGTTTGGTGCTGGCACAGCTATTCTTCACGCTTTTTTGACATCACTTTGATGTGCGCGTCTAGCTAATAAAAGCAGCGATTCTCTGTTTGTTTCCACATAAGCCCGTGCAAATTTACGTTTATGCTTAGCAATAAAGACGAACTTCCATCGTGCTGTTTCTGGGGATTTGTATGTGCTGTGCGTCCAGTGGCTCAGCCACTCACTGGAGGCTCAATACGGCTGGGAAAGACGTGGGAAAAAAGAGCATGGAAAGGCTAAAATTCAAATTTCTCGGCAAATTAAAGGTCGCATGGGGGCTATAACCCGAATTCGTGGCTAAGCATTGCTTTAATAGCCCGATGCAATCTATATTGAGTTCTTCTTCTCACACCTACACCCGCTTTTTGCTTTCAAATCGGCCCCATGTGCAGCATTGAGAATGCGCGAAGAAAAACACAAATAAAAATCCCAACACATATGCTTTTAAAATACTATTCATTTTCCAAAAGAGAAGATTTTTATGTGCTAGAAAGACGTTTTCGCTCGAAACAGGCCGCGCTGCGAGCGCGTGCTGCAGCAGGCCTAAAACAGTGGGCCGCTATGTGGCGCCGCAGCATGCAGGGAGACACGCCGGCGCTGCGGGTTTGCAGCCGCTTTTACGCTAGATAGAAAGAGGACACCAAAAATCGCGCTGGGAGATTCCGTGTACGCACATAAAGGCGCGCGCTGGTGCCTGGCATGTTATCATCTATCACAAAAACAAACACAAAAGCCAAAAACTAAAAATATTTTACAGGGTTATGGAAGAAAATAAAACAGGAACAGATAAGGTAGCTTTGAAACTTGAGGAAATGAAGAAGGGCCTGGCAGAGTGTGCGGTTCCCCGCAGTCTTCTTGAAAATCCGTACGAGATTGCCGAGTTTCTTACACAGAAGATGGTTGGCTATGCGCGCGCAGACAGCCTGAGCCTCACCGAAAATGAGCTGACTTTTGCGCTAGAGCAGACAAACCGCCTTTTGTTTGATGAAGTTCTAGAGATGGCGCACGCCATGCCCGGCAGCCGCCCGGGGAAGGAGAGCATATTTCAGTACATAGAGCGGCACATTGAGGAAATATACTGTGTGGCTAGGCAAGAAGCCTCTGACAAAAAAGCCAGAACGTGCACAACGCAGACATCCCAGATGGCCTGGATAGAGGCGCACACCAAGGAAGCCGAGGAGCAGATTCGGGAAGAGGCGCCGGGGATTCTTGTAAGCAAGATGTCTGTGCTGATTGCCGATGCAGAGCTGAAGGCTCTTCTGGCGTATAAGCGCCTGCAGAAAGAGCATGGTCTGATAGACACCGAAAGCGAGCGCGAAAGCAAAGCAGACATCGAGGTTGTGGGGGGTTTTCTGAGCGTTTTTCTTCAGGAGCTGGGCGAGCTCATTGCAGAGCGCAAAAAGCAGAGGTCGCGCAAGAAAAAGTGTGCAAGCGGTAGAAACATGTGCCAGGGGGGCTATGAAGCCCGCGCTGGCGTGTCTAGGAGAAAAGAGGCATGCTGGATAGGCCAGCTGGCCGCGGGGGAGAAGCCTGTGTGCGAATTTCGGACGCGGCTTGAAGAGATAGGCGCCGAGATGGGTGCGTGCATAGAAGAGAGAGCCCGGGTCTTTTCGGATGTAGAGGCCGAGCGCGCTGAGCTGGAAGAGCTGGAGGCCGAGCGGAAAGAGCAAAACGAGCTGGAAAAGGACGAGAGCGTGCGGATAGCAAGTCTGCTGAAAATGCTGCAGAGAGAGAGCGCCCGTGTGCAGGAGCGAAAGGCCGGCATAAAACTAGGGTACGCGGGCCTGGAAAGCGCCCGGGGGCGCAAAGGGCAAGCCAGGCAGGAGAGTGTGGCCGCGCAGGTGCACCAAGAGGTTCTGCAGAAGCAAGAAAAAGAGATGCTGCAGAGGCATTGGCAGGCGCAGGAGCTGGTTGTGCGGATTCAGCGCGAGCGGCAGAAAAGACGGGACGAGGATCAGAGGAAGATAGACCATCAGAGGGAAGCGCTGCATGAGCAGGAAAGCGCTGCCTGTGCGAGAGCTGCTGTTCTGGAGCAGAGAATGCAGGCACTGGCAGAGGAGAGAAAGCACGCTATGGATCCTCAGGACCGAAGGCGCGAGGAGAACCTAAACGAGCTTAGAGAGAGCGCGCGGCTTTCCAGAATGATAAAAAGCCATCAGCTTCGCGTGGAAAAAGCGGGCGCGTGGAAGGGCATGCTCTTGGGAATCGGCCTAGAGCAAGCAGCACAAGAAAGCCAGGAGGCGCTGGGCCGGCTGATAGAAGAAAAGCAGCGCGTTGACACGAAAATAAAGGCGTACGAAAGAAGGGAGCTGATTGTGGCAGAGGTTGCGCGCCTTCGAGACGACAAGGAAGCGCTGGGCAAAGTTGTCCAGGTGCACATAAAGACCATTGAATGCCTGGGCCTGCACATACAGCAGGCAAAGAAAAGAAGTGCGCGCGCCAAGCGGCTTTCGGACGAAAGGCTGGCTGTTCAAGACGCACTGGCGCGCCTGCAGAAGAAAATGCAGCATGTCTGCTGCCTGCTGGCAAGCGCAGAACAGGCCCTCATGGCAAGCGGGGTATAGGGCCAAATGCCAGCGGCTTTGCCTTGGAGTTGCCCAAAAGTAAATGCTTTTTGTGTGCATTTTTCTTGGTCGCTGTGTTAAACTTTAACTGCTGCTCTGTGGTGGCGGCGGCCTATGAACGCGTGCTTTTCTGCCAAATGCATGCCGGGTGCGCCCGGGCCTCGTTTCCGGCCAGATCTCTAAGCAAGGCAGGCGCTGCACCAGAGGAGCATCAAAAAGATGGGCCAATTTTTACATTTATTGTGCAATCAATTTGATTGGTAACACGAAATTGGGTTGTGTGAATGCCGTGCTATGCTGCCAAAAGTGTGGTCTAAGCATAGAAAAGCAGATTGCATCTTTATGACAGAAAGCCCAGCAGACATGGTGTGCTTGGAGGCTTCCTGTGTGCATTTTTAGTTGTTTTCGGGCAGTCAGCGTGTTTAATTTCCTACGCAGGCCTCAAAAAGAATATAGGAGGAGAGGTGCCAAAAGAAAGCAATGCTCTACCGAAAAAACGGCGTGGGGTTAGGCGATGGAAAATCCAGTATCCGCAAAGAATACACCTGCGGCGCAGAATTGGCAGTCCGGGCGGGCAGAGCTCAAATCCAAGCTGCAGCGGAAGAATCCTGGCTTGTCCTGGTGCAGCCCCAAGGCACGTCCGAAATAAAGGGCTTTACAAACTTTTCTTGAGCAAGAAAAAGCTCTAAGTGCATGTATTGTGTTTGCGCTGTTTTTCTGGAGTAGCGTCTGGACATAGAGGCATTCGGGTTTCCAACCTTTCATCCGGGCTGCTAGAAAAACATGCTCAGCCGGAGCTGCAGCATGGCATAAATGCAACGCACTGTAACCTGAACCCGAATAAATGTCTTTCTGCGCTTTTTCTTCGGGCGGATGCAGCTTCAGAAGCGTTTGGAGGCTTTTCTGCCAAGCGCATCCCTGCTCCTCGCCCGAGCAAAAAGTGCAGCACTCTGTGTTCCTACGCGGTCCCATCGCAGTACTATCAAAGCTGGCACGCGCTTAACTTCAGAGATCGATTTGTTGTCTACACGCATTTTGGGGCCAGAAGGAGCAATTATATACTTTGTGAGAGAATTTCTTAAGCAGAATACAGCAGAGCACGTCCGCTCGTTCTGTGCGATTTTGTGCGAGGAGGCGCAAAGCTACAAAGCGCATATGAAAGGGAAGCTTCGGGGAATCAAGCCCGAGTTTGACAAGCAGATGGAGTCATTGAGAAACACATGGCTTCTTTGGTTCCTTAAGCATGCCATCTTGAAAGACCCGGGCCAAACCCAGCTTATCCACGAGCTGTACAGTCTTGTTCCTTCAAAGCTGCAGCTGAGCCATCCAATTTCCTACTTCGGCAGGCTTTTCGAAAGGTACGAGCCCCGGGTGCTGGAGTGCTTTATCAATAATTCGGAGACTCTTTTGAAGGCCGGCGGGCGGGAAAAGTTTGCTGTTTTGTGCGAAGCTTTCACGTCGGACTGCTGGTTTTAGTTACCTGCCCTAGAAAAGCGTGCTGATGTTTTTTCGGTGCGTGCAGAGTGCAGTGCAGGAGCTGCCTTTGCGAAGCTTCCGAAGATGGGCGTGCGCAGAGGAGGTTTTGATGGTGGAGAGCAGCGTGCCCGAAGGGACATTAATGTTTTGCAAAATAAACGCTTTTTAAAGATACATGTTCCATGCCAAAGGCTGGATGCTTGCAGCTGGGCATTCGCTGTGGCAGGATTGGCAGCGCAACAAAACAGCGGCAAAGTGTGCTGTGTCTGTTCGAGCAGGCTGGGCGCGAGTAGAAGGCAGTGTTTCGCGTGGGCATCCCCCATGGCAGCTAATTAATGGAAAAAGAGGAAAAAGAAAGTTTGCTGCACATTCTTCATGCAGGCAAAGCAAATTTAAAGGAAAAGAGGCCCGAAGACTGAAATCCAATCGAGAGAAGTTTTATTTTTGCTTTGCAGGGCCGGAAGGAAAGGAAGCCTCCAAATGGAAAGGCTTTTAGAATTCGGGCGATTCTAATTGTTTGGCACAAGTTGTATAAAAGCGCATGCGTATATACTGCTAAGAGCAAGCGGCAATCCAGCGCATACAAGCATTTCTCTAGCCGGCGGACCGTGCAATTTGGCCGTACTCGCATGCGCAGCGGCTATCTCTTCTGGTCTATGGAATACTGGAGTATGCCCTGCATGCCTTTGAACACCTCTTCTCCGCTAGGCATCTCCAGCAGGGCACTCTGGTACGTGTTCAGAGCCTCCAGAATCACGGCGGCTGCTTGGCTTTTGATAGAAAACACGTATTTGTTGCGATTGTATGCCTGTATCGACCTTGGCACAACCCTGCTGCCCAGAGCAAGCACCAGCTCGTGCGGGGTGCTATCATCTTGCAAGCTGGCGAAGAACACGAAGAGGTCGAAGACCACCTTGGCGTCCAGTGCCCTCTCCCGGTCTTTCTCCTCCACATCCATAATAAGCGCGCGAATTTCGTCTGTGTGGCGTGTTGACTTGTCTGCAAGCAAAACAGGAAACATGCTAGAGATGGTGTTAAAGCTTTTTAATTGTAAACACCCGAAAAGAGACTCGCGCGCCTGCTTTTTGTACTCTCTAAAGTACTTCATAATGGCGTTTGCTGTGGGTGCGCAGTTGTCTCCGGTGTAGCTCCCTATTTTGATGATAGTGCCTGTGCTTTTATAGAGTATAGAAGTTGTTTTCTTTGACAGGGCGATTCTTGGAAAAAGGCCGCGCAACATGTCCAGAAAGACTATGTGCTGCATCCCATTGTATTGCGTTACGGAGTCATCCAGCGGAAGGCTGCCGAGCAGATTCGAGAGGAGGCGCACGCCCGGATGCTCCTGGGCGAACTCGATGCCTTTTGCTGCTGCATACAAGGTGAAGTGCTCGGAGAATTCTTGTATCTGTTTGCTTCTCAAGGCGTTCCCGAGCAAGAAAAGCTGGTTTGGGTGCGCAGAGGCTCCATCGACAGCCAAGCGCTCTATGAACCCCCGAGTGTCTTCAGTAAGTTT